AAGGACTATCATTTGCTGAGTCCTGGTCGACAGCATCGTACTGTTTAAGGCTGCACTGTATTCCATTCCATCATTAAAATATTTCCCTACTATAAACATCACTAGGATGAACATATTTTTTTGTAGTAGTTTTACACAAATCCCTATTTCCTTAGGACAAATATCTAGGGGTGAACTAGGTGGGTCAAAAAGATATGCCAAATTCTAAGCGCTACTCCTCTTTGTGTCTTTCTTTTCTTATCTCCCTTGTTTTTTCTTCACTTCCTCCACTTTTTATTTCATCCTCTTTCAGTTCTAGTTCTTTTGATTTACCTCTTTTAGCTTCTGTTTTTACATACGAGGCCAGTGGATATGTCATTGACCCACATGATTTTGTCCCAGCTATTCAACCAAAGCTGAGAAAGCCTCTAAAGTTGATGGTGTTCCTCTCCCTACTTTCACTGAGTTTACAGTGAAAGATGAATTACTCTACTTAATGTGAGTGCATTGGATTGGCAGAATACAGGTGCTATAATAACACACAAATGAAAGAGAAAAGAACAGGATTGTAAATGTTTCCATCACCATTTATGCGGAAGGAAAGTTTAAATGTTCTGTCTGGACTGGGCCTGTCCTCTACTTAGCTGCCGACCATGATAAACATTACAAACCACACACAAAGCAAACTTTTCTCCTATATAGAGCACCCACAACAGGTCCACGTTAAATTTTAGTTTTTTTTTTTCCCCGTGAAAACTTCCCTGAGTAATTGGTTGTCCTTGAAAACAACCTGAAATGTATACACTCCCTCTGTATTAGTCTGCTTAGGCTGCCGTAACAAAATACCACAGGCTGGTGTCTTAAACAATAGACATTTCTTTTCTCACAGTTCTGAAGGCTGTAAGTCTAAGATCAAGGTGCCAGAAGAGTGAGGTTCTGGTGAGACCTCTCTTTCTGGCTAGCAGACAACTGCCTTCTTAGTCATCACATGGCAGAGAGACACAGCTAGCTTTCTGGTGTCTCCACTTACAAGGGCACAAACCCCATGAGGGGGGGTCCCATCTTCATGACCTCATCTAACCCTAATTCTCTCTCAAAAAAGCCTTGGTGTATAAAATGCAGGCCCAAAATGTGATTTTATCTTTTACGCGTATGCTATATTTCTGCTAAGTGAAGTCAGTCAGTCAGATAGAGGACAAGAACCATATTATTTCACTCATATGTAGAATATAAAACAAAGCAACAAATGAACAAACAAAACAAACAAAAAACCTCATAGATACAAACAGAATGATGGTTACCAGAAGGGAAGTGGGGTGGAGGAAGGACGAAGAGAATAAAAGGGGTCCAATAAATGGTGACAGAAGGTGACCAGATTTCGGGTGGTGAGCACAAGAGTACACAGATGTTATATTATAGTTGTGCACCTAAAATTTGTATAATGTTAACCAATGTTACCCCAATAAATTTAAAAAGAAACCAAGTTAATACTGAAAAAAGATGGAATTTATTAGGTGTGCCAAAAGTGGAAAATACTTAGCAGCAGATGCCCACAGATATGTTGATGTGTTTCAAAAGTAAATTAAAAAGTACATAAAAATCATATGAAATATTATATAGTGAATTGTATGTCATTGGGTAAGATGTAAAACATTAATATTTTAACATCTAGAGAGATGCACACACCCTACAACAGAAAAAAAATCACTTGAATTTCACATATATTTTCATGAATGTATTAATACTGAATAGCATAGGCTAGGTCTGTGGTTCCCAAACTTTACTAACACACTGGAATCACATGGGGAATCTTTAAAGAATACTAATGCCTGATTTCCTTGACCAGCCATTGTTATTTAATTGGCATGAAGAGGAACTTGATCTTTGGGTGTTGTAAAAGCTCCCCAGATGAGTCTACTGTGCAACAAAATTTGGGAATCACTGGATTAAGTTATCCTGGGGGATAAAAAACATCTCCAAACTCTCAGTGGCTTGAAAACAAAAGTTTATTTCTCATTCATGCTACAAGTCCAACATGAAGAGGCCTACCATCCACAACAGTGCTATCTCAACCCCAGGGCTCAGGGTCTATCACAGCAGGGGGAGGCATGAAGAATCATGCATTGGCTCTTACATGTTTTTGTTCAGAAACGACACACTTCACTTCTCCCTAACATTTCATTGGCTAATGCAAGTCACTTAGCCATGCCTTACTTCAATAAAGATGGGTTAGTATAATTCTCCCACACGTCCAGAAAACGGGAACAAAAATATCAGAGTAATAGCTTCCATCTTTTAAAAATCTATATTGAATACTTAATGATTTCCCTTGGTGCTGAAGACTGAATTTGTCACGCCAAAATATGTTGAAACTTAATTCCCAAGGTGATGTTATTTGGAGGTGGGGCCTCTTGGAAGTGATTAGATCATGAGGGCAGAGCCCTAATGAAAGGATCTAGTGCCCTTTGTAAGGGAACCCAGAGAGCTCCCTCACCCTTCCTGCTGGCACAGCAAGATGGCCGTCTATGAACCAGGAAGTAGGACCTCACCAGGCACCAAATCCGCAGGTGCCTTATCTTGGACTTCCCAGCCCCCAGAACTGTGAGAAATCAATCTCTGCTGTTTATAAGCCACTCAGTCTATGGTATTTTGCTGCAGTTGTCTGACATCTTGTCACATCTTTTGGTACCAAGTCTTGAATCTTCAATTTTCTACTTGATTTCATGAACCAATCTTACATCTATAAATAACTTGACATTACTAAACGACACATTGTATTTCCTTTGTAACCTGCACTGTACCCAGTAAACACTTGATGAATTGATCTAAATAGATTTTTAGAAGTGCGCAGGTTATTCCTTCTAAATCTGGTTTGACTTGACAGTCTTGGTAGCTGAAGATGACCCCAAGAAACAGGCCCCTGAAATGGGCTTATTCCAACAATCCTCCTTCCATCAAGAACAAAACACTTAATTCTGGCAAGACTAAAACTGCAAGGCTGTCACAATCATTACTGTTATTTTACTACTTACAAATTCTTGCCAGGTTGCTCTGCTCCGAATACTAATGTATTTACACAGGTAGATGAACCCAGAAACTGCTTGGGAACATCACCTGAATAAGAATTCTTAATATTCCTAGCTGTCTTTCTAGTATCTCATAACTCTAAGAAATGCAGCAGTACTCCATTACCCACAGTTTTGTTTTCTGTGGTTTGTTAGTACCTATGGTCAATTGTGATCTGAAAATATTAAATGAAAAATTCCAGAAATAAACAATTGATAAGTCTTAAATTGCGCAGCATTTTGAGTAGTGTGATGAAACCTCATGCCTTCCTGCCTGGGTTGCAAATCATCCCTTGTCCAGCGTATCCACACTGTATATGCTCCCCACCCATTAACCACTTAATAACCGTCTTGATGATCAGCTTGGTTATGGGGGGGTGGGGAGAGAAAGAGACCACATTCACATAACTTTTGTTATAGTATACTGTTATAATTGTTCTATTTTATTATTGTTGTTAATCTCTTACTGTACCTAATTTATAAATTAAACTTTCTCAAAGGTATGTATGTATAGAAAAAAACTGTATGTAGGTTTCAGTACTATCTGCTGTTTCAGGCATCCACTGGGGGTCTTGGAACGTATCCCCCTCAAATACGAGGGGACTACTGTATTTTTTTTTTAATGAATGTATTTTATTTTTTTAAAGATTTTATTGGGGAATTGGGGGAGGGGAACAGTGCTGGGGAATCTGGAGAAGGGGAACAGACAAGTTGCTGTCGTTTTGTTCTTCAGTCTAGTTGTGGAGGACGTCGCTTCACTAGCCCATGTTGGTATTATCATTGCGCTCTCCCTGGGTGAGGCAGATCAGTCGGCCGGCCTCTGGACAGCCGCTCACAGCGGCTCTTGGCAGCTCACACTGTCTGCCAGCTGCTCACGTTGGCTGCTGGCTACACACCGTAGCTTATGGCAGCCCACTGCACTAGGGGCTGCAGCCTCTGCTGTCGCTGGGGACTCACAGCAGCCCAGCTCCAGGGTGAGCTGTTGTTCATCATCTTAGCTGTAGAGGGCAGTGTCACTGGCTCTCATATGTGGGATCCGAACCGGGGCCCTGCTGCTCAGAGCTGGCATCCCAAGCCAGCTCTTAACCAATGCGCCACTCAGCCAAGCCGGGGACTACTGTATTTTAAATCTCATTTTCAGTCAGGCTTTCATCACCATACACTCTTTTCTATTTCTATCGCCTTACTCCCAGAGGATAATATATTTAAGTCAAAGAACACCTCAGGGCTGGCTGAGTGACGAGGTGGTTAAGAGCTGGCTTGGGACGCCAGAGCGCCCCGGTTCGGAACCCACATATGAGGGCCAGTGACACTGCCCTCCACAGCTAAGATGCTGAACAACAGCTCAACCTGGAGCTGGGCTGCCATGAGTCTCCGGTGACAGCATAGGCTGCAGGCCCTGCTGCAGTGGGTTGCCATGGGCTACCGTGTGTAGCCAGCAGCCAGCGTGAGTGGCCAGCAGCTGCTGAGCGGCCATCCAGAAGCCGGCGACTGATGTGCCTCGCCCGGGAAGAGCGCAATGATGGTGCCAACTTGGGCCAGAGAAGCAACGTCCTCCACAACTAGACTGAAGAACAAAACAACAGCAACTTGTCATTTCCCCTTCCCCCAATTCCCCAGCACTGTTCCCCTCCCTCAATTCCCCAATAAAAATCTTAAAAAAAAAAAGAACACCTCAGTTTGCTCAGGAATTCTTTATAAATAATTAAATGGATTAAATCATTATAGAAATAAATAAAATTATTTTAAAAAAATGAGTCTAAGAATTTGGGTAGGAATAGTCACCCTGAAGCAATTAAAAAGCATCTGACCAAACCAAAAGGTTCAATGATACTACCTCTGAGATAAACATTTTAAAAATAATTAATAAGTTTACTGCAAACTGCAATAAATGGTAATTATTTTAAAAAATTGTTAGGCTGCTAAACCAAAAAAACAGTGCACGGTCTCAGTATGCATTATTTAACATTTTATTAGAAAAACGATTTTTAAAGTAATATATTGTGAAAGTAATTCATTTGCGTCAGTTTCTATTATCAGAAATAAATCAGTTAATGTTGAAAGCAATTAATTATATGTACATGAGTATACATGCACACATACACTCCACATGCAAAATATTTAAAATACCACTCGAATTTTAATGCATTAGATCTTTACCAAATCTTAATAGAAACTTTGGTGCGCCAGTAAACTCAGTTATCTATTTGTCTATTTCTCTCAAGGTGTTTCTGGATTCTTTTACCTATAGGTTTACATATTAGCTCTAGAAAATGAAAATTTTCATCAATGCAAATGAAATAAAAAATAATTTCAAATGTAAACCTGATAAAACAAATTAATTGTAACAGACTCCAAAACTAAATATAAATTAGTTTTGATAGTCAAGTATCTTGGATTATCATTACATCTTTTTTTCATCATATGAAAAGACAACCAAAAAATCATAGTTCATGTTTGGAAAATATTTACCCCATCCTTAGATCATTAGGTTTATTATTTGAAATATCAAAATAAAATGTTTTACTATTTCTATTTTTTAAGTCTATACTTACTTTAGAACTAAGCAAACTTTACTTCAAATAATACAAACAATATAAACAATTTAATATATTTACTACAACCTGATTTTTAAGGATTTCTTTAAAGTTTTGATAATATAATTATATTTTAAGATCAAAAAAGCCATTTTGTGTATTTAAAGGACAGTTTTCCCAAACTTGCCTTGTAAATTCATAAAGGGTTTCTTAAGTGAGGAACTCATAACAAAACCAACATCGATTAAATTTAAAAAGTCTTTATTCATTTATATGGTATATACCATCCTTTACTAAAAACATGTCTTTCAATGGATCAAGCTTTGCTAGAAAATTCATGTGTCTCTTTTTTATATCATATGTTGAAATGGTAGAGGATGCAGGATACAAAAATCAATTTAATAGGCATCATTGAGTTTTATACATACACAGAATCTTGGGTAAGTGGTTAAAATTACAGATGAGCACTAAATGTGGGCACATGGATATTCCATATATACCAATGAACTTAACAGAAGATGTGTTTGCACTGATTTCTGGTAACCAACTTGCTTTCTGCAAATCTTTAAACACCCAATTCCAAATCTTCCAGCTCTTGGAGAAGGGCTTTCTCTTTCTGAATTTTCTCCATCTAGAAAAGTTTAAGACAATAAAGTTATTCAACAGGAAATAAAATAATTATTGGATTTACAGTCAAAATAACAAAGGAGAAAAAATTTAGAGAGTATGTCTGACACTTTATCAGACTCACTGGTAAACACACATTTAAAAATGCAGATTAGAAGCAAGTTCTAATTTGTTATCTGGTATGAATCAAGGGGGCAAAGGACAGAAGCTGCCTTACTGCATTCCTTTAGGTCCGGTAAATTTTCCATTTTACACTTGGGCTTAAAAGTGCTGAGGAAAAGAGGAGGAAAAGGGGCAAAGGGGGCAGTGCAATCTGAGATACAGGAAGGAAGAAAATCTTGTATTTGCCTCACATAATAAACTGCCTTGATAAACAGCAGCAACAGCATTAATATGCCTGTTAGGAATAGCAACTGTTTCATTCCCCATGATCTACATTATGTCTCCTTCTATCCATCCCTGTTTAAGAGTAAAAACTAAAAAATATATGGCATGTGATTTTCAAAAATAGTTTAAATCTATGTACTCTTTTACCCAATTAAACAATTGCTTATAATAAAAAGAGAAGGGTAGTAGTGACTACGAGCCCAAATGAAAAATGCAGAAAAGACCTGATTTTTTTCTAGCTGTTTTCCAGTTGCTGCTTGTTCTTTCAGCTGTTCGATTGCTTTCAGTTTCTGCAAACATCAAATATTTATGAGTCAAGAGGAAGGAAGAATAAGTTAGTTTAGAATACAAATTTTCTTATTAACAACTCAATCATATAAATAAGGGGAATCAATTATCTTACACTTGTATCAAAAATAGTTTGTTAAAATGCTAAGGTAAACTACTTTGTAAAATTAATTGAAAAATTTAAAAATAAATAAAATATGCTCCAACTCTGAAAATAAAAAAATATGGGATTTAGTAAAATATTTTTCAATCTTTTAATTGTTATACGAGTATATGTATATGTATGTGTGCATAGATATGTCAATATGTGTACATACATATATATATATGTAAATATATCACCAATTTCACCATTTATTTTTGTACTTCATTGTACCTGGATGATATCTTTGGCTTTATAAGAAACTTTATAGCGCAGCCCAAGAAAAGCTCTAGAGACCTGGTTTTACCTCCACAAACTGGCTGTAATTTGACAAGTGAATAAACTTTTTGTCTCTGTTTCCTCATCTTTAAAACTAGGATAAAGGTCTGTTCCTACCTATCTCACAACTGTCTAATGAAATACTGAGTATAAAAGTGTTCAGCATATATCTATACAATTGTACATTATTTCTTATTACTCCAAAAATCAAAAATAAAAGACCGAGAGTCATTAAACATTTGTGAATAGAAATTAAATCCGCACCATTCCTATGTTAGAGTATTTCATAGAAAGCAATGATGAGAACTGCTACAAACTTCTTAGATTCCTGTATTTAGGCATTTAAATATTACTTTATATAATTCTCACATATTTCTTTCCATAAATACGTCTGATTTTCATTTAAATCGCTCACCTTCTTTAGGTTCTTGATTTTTTTGTCTCTCTCAGGGTCTCCAGAAGTTGACTGAGACACAGTATTTTGTGCTGAGCTCTGTGGGGCAGGAGTAGGTGCCAAATCTGTTGAGTTCTTCTCACTTCTTGCTTCCTACAGGAAATATTTTCAAATATTCAATTTTCTAAAATGAAAACATTAAAGTATTTTAACCAAAAAGGTGCTGGTATTTAAATGCAGACCCAAAATGTGATTTTATATTTTATACTACAATTTATATAAAGAAAGGAACTGAACTGAAGGTCTCATAAAATATGCTATGTTCCATAATAAATACAATGCAGCTTAAAAAAAAGTCACAGTTATGAGACACTCAAAAGGTTTTTACTATATAATTGTCACAGAGAACACTTTGCTGGATCTAGAATTTAAAGTAACATAACAATAAAAAAATTTAAATTATTATGTTAGTAATATAACGAAAGGACAAATGAAAAGAAAAGAAATGACCTTCGCCAAGTAAGCTAGAAGATTTCTGTATCAGCCAACAAGCATTCAAAATTTCTGGATCTTTTGGGAGGGGCCATTATATGGATGCTTTGGAAATGTGACAGGCTTTTCTAATTAAGGTATGTGAAGTTTCACTCATGTGATGTCCTCCCAAACTATAATGAGTGTGTAAGATCAAGTCCACGTAATGGGTGATGCTACAGAATAAGTCCTACAGAGGTTTATTTATAATCAGATCAATACAGCTCTGCAACAAAGTGCATTGGAAAACTTTTGTCCCTGAAAGGAAGTCTACATTGCCCTCAATGTGATCAGACCTCTGATGACCTTTCTAGCCTCAGCCCTCCTCACCAAGGAACCACTGATTCTGAACCACTTTGATTTCCGCTAAGGTGCTGTGAACTCGTTTCCTGGCTTTTGTGCTTATTACTCTTGTTTACTGTTCCTTGTGCCTTGAATACCTTTAGGTCACCTGGTTGACCCTACTTATCCTTTAGGGCTCCTAGAAAATGCCCCCACTTCCCAAGAGACCAGATTAGTTACACATGTGTTATGTATCCTTATTGCAACACCGTCCTGCACTATCTCCCATTAGACTGTACCTGAGGTTTTCTTGTTCACTGTTCTACTTGTGCCCCCAGCATACTATGTGCTTTACTGCACATGTTAAATAAATGAAAGAGCAAAAGAATGACTCTCCTTTTGTAATTATGAAAAGACATATGTTTTGACGAGAGGGGGAAAGGTTAAGTCTTTATTGGCCTAGAGATAGAGCTTCTACCTCTTCTTCATAGAGTTCCCAGTGGAATCACAGAACCCCAAGAATTCAAAACCTCTTACTCAGAATTCTGGGTGGAATACTCTGAATTTCCAAAGCATCCCAGGGGAACATGGTACAGGGTATCACTTCTAGATCTCTGAATCTAAAAATGTCTGCTTGAGAGTTTTTAGAGAATATAAATTAGAGTCACTTTTTCTTTTTAAAGTCATGTTGGTTATACTTTTTTTTGTACATTCCAATGCAGCAAAGGTTAATTCTATGTGAAAGCACATTACTGAGCGCTTCAACAGAGTATTCCGAAAGAAACTATTTACTAGTTTCTACTCTTAAGGAGCTTATAAGCTCTGATAATGTATGGTTTTGTATTCTTCATACAATTAAAGAAGAGTGGATAAAAGAAGAGATACTTTACCTATCAAAATTCACTTCTGATATCACATTTAAAAATTTTTAAATTTAGTTGCTTATAATGAGCTGGGAATATTAATTTTTCTATTAGGAAGTAAGAAGGTTAATGTTACAAATGTGAAAAACTATTAAAGTTAAGTGAAACATAAAATTTAATTTTCTACCGTATTTTAAATAACCAAGAATAAGTCAAAATGTCTGATTATACTTAAATTCTGGCCACTCTCTGGAAAGAATATGTATATGGTAAGATTAAATTCTTAGTTTCAATTCTTTTTGGTACAGTTGACAAGCTTATAAAACCATCCAAAGTTTATAAAAGCACCTGGTTAGATTACATACATCTGACTTCTTTATCTTTGGTTACTTAATTCAGAGTCACAGCTGAAAAGGTGTGGTCAAGGTGAGACACTATCATGGACCATTTACCTGTGTTCTATTACACAACCTAACTTTTACTAACTCCAGCCAGTTGTCTCAAAACCCATAGGGAAAGGATTATCTTGCAAGTAGAAAACCTTTGCCACCACTGGGAAAACACACAAAGGGTAACTCCATAAATGATGGATTAGTAGTATCACCTTTAGTAAATAACACATGTGGGTGATTGCACGGTTGGTTGTTTTTGTAATTATGTTTTACATTAATGGTGCTGATTGTAAGGGCTCTCTTTGAGAAAGTCCAAATATTTTAATATTGATTATTATAAATAATACCAATTCTATAAACACTGACCCAAATTTTATGTGCTCAAATACCAGAAACACACACAAAATGAACTAATATTTTATTTCAAAGGGACCTTAGCTCAGTACCAGCGATGGTCATACTGAAAAGATCTGATAAAATGAAGAAATATCACTTATAAACAGGAATCTAAGATGAGTGGGTTTTAGAAGGCACTGAAATCTCTATTAGAAGGAATTTTGTACAGCCACTCTGGAAAACAGTATGAAGGTTCCTCAAGATATTAAAAATAGAGCTGCCATATGACCCAGCAATCCCACTTTTGGGTATATAACCAAAGGAAACAAAATTATTATCTCAAAGAGATAATCTGAACTCCCATGTTCATCGCAGTATTATTTATAATAGCCAAAGTATGGAAACAACCTAAGTGTCCATCAATGGATGAATGGATAAAGAAAATATATCTATACACACAGTGAATGTTATTCAACTTTTTATTTGCATCAACATGGATGAGCCGGGGGCATTATGTTAAATGAAATTAGCCAGAGAAAGATAAAATATGGCATGGTATCACTTTATATGTGGAATCTAAAAAAAAAGTCAGACTCACAGAAACAGAGCAGAATGGTGATTGCAAGGGGTTGGGGGGTGGGTATAGTGGGGAGATGTTGATAAAAGGGTTCAAATTTTCAGTTATAAGATGAATAAAGTCTGAGGATGTACTGTATAACATGGTGACTATAGTTGACAGCACTGTACTGTATCACTGAAATTTGCTGAGAGAGTAGAACAAGTGTTGTCACTCCCACAAAATGATAAATGTGTGAGGTGATGGATGTGTTAATTAACCCAGCTGTGGGAATCCTTTCTCAATATATATGTGTATATCAAATCATCACATTGTACACTTTAAAAATTTTATTTGTCAATTATATTGGGTTGTCGGAAGTCATGACATATTTTTCCTATGTTTTTTGTTGCAAAAATGCATCATGTCTTTTCCAACAACCCAATAATAGTTAGAAAAAAATATTAGCTAGAAAAAAAAAGGACTCTTACCTACGAGTAATTATAAGGTAACATTCAGAGCCAGCACAAGTCTCTAACCACAATGATGAAAGGACAAGTTTTACTTTTAAAGAGGTGTAATACATGGAGTAGATCATTTTACTCAGAGTGACCTAACACAAGCTATTCAACCCTCCGTCAGGCGCAACTGATCTATCTCACAGGTTCATTGCACACAAATTTTCAAATATCTTAACAGTTAAGTATCATGACTCATCGCTTCCATATCTTCCCCCTCTACCGTAACCTATTGCCAGTCATGTTTGTGACTTAGTACAGTAAAGATTTCATAGCGGCATCTTTGTGTGCAATGAATCTGTGAGATCAGTTGTGCCCGATGAAGTGTTAAAGATTTTTTGGAGATAAAATATATTAACTACAAAAGAGCACGCTGATTTTTTTAAAGGCCAGATTTTAGCAGAATGTGGTTGCATAATGCAATTCTACACCTTAAAACAATTAATTGTCTACCAAAACACATAAGCAACCTAAACTGTCAGAATTCAAGCATTACTAGCACAACCGCATTGAATCTCAAATATGTAGTCACCATTACTTTGCTAATCAGATAGTCCCAGCACAACTAATCTCACTATCACAGGACCATAAATTGTCAATTCTTATACTAGTGTGGTTTTTCAATTACAAAATCATACACAAATTAGTTTAGAACAATTCCATTGTTTGTGTACTTCTGGCACTTAGATTCCTAATTGAATAATTTCCTATAGTAACATAATATTGAGTGACAAAATGGCTTTATAATCACATACTTTCTGGTGTCTCTTAACAAAAACATGTTTTCAAAAAAGCAAACTATACCACTTCACGAAGGCCCCACCAAAAAGGTCTATAGCAAGTAACATACTACATAATCCCATTAGGGTTTCAGGTTTTTAAGGTCAGGTCCAGTTTCCTTAACTTCCCATTATATACAGGGAATTCTTAAAAATTCATAGGCAAACACAAAAGAAAGACATTCTAACTCCAACTACATTTTACAACATAACAGTCAAGTCTTTTGGACTTCAAAACTTGAAGGCTTAAAGCTAATAATTTAACTGATTTTGTTTTGTTTTGAAGGGATTAGTGCCCCACATACCTGCTTTGCAGCTTTCTTAGCCTCATGCTTCCTTTGATTTTTAAGGGCTGTTTTTGATAACGGTTTATCATTTCCTGATTGTGGTTTCATATTCTGAGGTGGTTCCTCCTCATGCTATGGAAAATGTAAAATAAATGATTTTGAAATAGAGTCCATGTTGTTAAAAACATATTCAACAAATTATACAATTTTGCTAATATGGGATAAACTTATTTTACCAAGTTTATTTTAAGATCACTGGCAAATAACATTTCAAAACTCTGATTGGTAGTAGGCACACTCCACTGTCGGCATGGAATTAATGAGGCACTTCCTATGAGTTGATAGTTATCTTTCAGATTTCTGAGACTGCAAATAAGAGCAGGCAAAATTCACTTTGGTTTTGTTTAAACAATGGAACTTTTCTTAGTACTACCACCGACGCATGATTCTTATAAAATTAGACATCAACAATAGCTTCTTCTGCAATCTTTTTGGATCTGACTACTGCCAACAGAAACTCAGTTCCCTCATTTGTTTTCTTTGCACAAAGAATTATTTGCTAGACCTTAACTTGCAAAATCGGATACTAGAAGTTAAAAATAAAAGCAGATAGAAAAACTAAGACTATAAGAAAATAGATGAAGGTGCTGGCCAAGTGGCTCAGTTGGTTAAGAGCTCGCTTAAGAGTACAAGCTCTGAGCAACAGGGTGGCTGGTTCAATTTCCAGCACAAGCTGAGCTGCGCTGAGCTGCCAACAGGTAGCAGGATGGCTCAGCTGAAAAGAAAGAAAAAAAAAGAAAATAGATGAAATAGGAAGAGATAACTGCTATAACTGCATAATTATAAATCCAGGATTAACATAATAAAGAGGCCTACAAAAACCTAAGAAACTTGTCAGATTATATGCAACTAGACAATTGTTTTCATCATTGGATATTTATACAACCATCTATCAACTACATTCCACAACAGAAGGAGAGTAAATTAAGTACAGGATCAAGGAGGATCTAATGTAGAACATGGGGATTATAGTTGGTAACACTGTATTGAATAACTGAAATTTGCTAAGAGTAGAATGCAAATGTTCTCATAAAAAAAAATTCATCTACTTACTGATTCTGTCTACACTGCTATTATGCTAGTGTTAACTGTCTCTTAGACTCTACCATACTCAGCACATCAAAAGGACCACGTCTCCATGAAGTTTCTTGAGTACTAGATCTGTGTTGTGCTTATAAATGCTATGAGGAAATGGGCAGGGCGCAAACATTTAAGATACAGAGGAATAAATAAGAAACCATAAAGTGATTTGATCTTAGCAGTCGCATTAACTATTTCAGGTCATCAAAATTTTGTTTGTGTACATACAAGTACACTGCTTGAAGCAACTGAATATATGAGAACCCACATTTGTAGAATAGACAGATTTGGAGCTCAAAGCTCTTTTACTTATTTTTTATTTTTTAATTTTTTTGAAAAGATTTTATTGGGGAGTTGGGGGAGAGAACAGAGTTGGGGAATCGGGGAAGGGGAACAGACAAGTTGCTGTCCTTTTGTTCTTCAGTCTAATTGTGGAGGATGTCACTTCACTGGCCCATGTTGGTATTGTGATCAATGCACTCTTCCTGGCTGAGGCAGATCGGTCGCTGGCCATTAAATGGCCGCTCACGGCAGCTCATGCCGGATGCCGGCCACTCACGGTAGCTCACGGCAGCTCACTGCAGCCTCACTGCAGCCCCACTGCATCCTACGCCGTCACCGGGGACTCACGGCAGCCCAGATCCAGGTTGAACTGTTGTTCACCATCTTAGCTGTAGAGGGCAGCATCACTGGCCCTCATGTGGGATCTGAACTGACGGCCCTGCTGCTCAGAGCTCATGCTCCCAAGCCAACTCTTAACCAATGAGCCACTCAGCCGGCCCCTCTTTTACTTATTTTTTATGTCCACTGCACACAATGTTAGTTAAGAGATACTAATATTTGCTGAACATTTGTTTTACACATCAAAATTCTTTCAATAGTGGGCTATGCCACAGCACCTTGCTTTGGCTGAAAGTTTCCACTCATGAGAACTTCAAAAAATGACAAAGCAATTAAAAATGATGCAAGAAGAAAGGATAAATTACATATCTTTTCCAACCTATAAGTATCATGTAGCCACTGACAGACGTTCATTTTAGACATACATACATACATAAATAAATAAATGAATAAATAAATAAAACCACACAGCTACTACAGGTCATGAGCTGTCTACTTGTTCAAACATAACATATGAATTTTTACTTATAAAAAGAGTAACTTTTGGGGAGGCCAGTTAGTTCAGTTGGTTAGAGCGCAATGTTCATAATACCAAGGTTGCCGGTTCAATCCCCACGTGGGCCACTGAGTTGCGCCCTTCACAACTAGATTGAAACAACTACTTGACTTGGAGCTGATGGGTCCTGGAAAAACACAATGTTCCCCAATAAAATAATAATAATATAATAATAAAGAATTTAAAAAAGTAACTTATTTCTTCAAGGGGAAAAATCCCAACACCTTTTTTCCCTTCTGCTATGTAACCTTCCTCCTTTGTATACTTATTGACTAGAACATCTTTGTTTCTAAGTAATTTCTTGACAGTATTTTCTTTGCCATTTACCTAATTTCTTGAATTAGATACAAACAAAGATTTTTCATTAGTGGTCACTTCAACTAAAATCATTTGTTAAGATCACATAATCACCATGTCACATACAAAAGCAAAAATTTCATGGGTATCTTAAATGTTAAAAAGTTTTGGTTTTAAGAAATTCTTACCTAGTTTTATTGCCATTTTCAAACTATTATCTTTCTATATTCATTTCTCTACCTTCCACCACCAAAACAAATTAGTTTTATGGATCAGAGAATAAAAATATACACCAATTCAGAGTTTCTTCCTCTTATGCTAATTTACACATATTTAGATAGCAGGATAGGGTGAGGTAAGTTACTCCTGTTTTTATCTTAGGTAAGGAAAATGTCAATATACTGATGGGACAAATCTAAAGACTATAATATACTTTCTTTTTTGATCTAATACAAATATAAATAGGGCTTAATTTGTTATGTAAGTTTATATATATTTACAAAATAACTTTATATAATGAAAATGTTTCAACAGAACATTTCAATGAAGTCAAGAAGTTAGAGACCACTGCTGCAATAAAATGGAAGAGGAAAGATTGTTCTTCTGTATTTGTGTTTGAGAGAGTTAGGAGTGGCCCTAGGGAGGCATAGGAGTATCTGTCCCTTGAAAAAGTATTTACTTCCCTGAATGTCTAACTATTAAGTAAGTATATAGCCCCGTTTACTTGGAAATCCCAGTTTATGCCTCTAGTATGGTCACTTTTCTAATAACAGAAAGACTTACAGAGCAACTTTATTCCTTAATATCATCAAGAAACTCAGGTCACTTATAAATGCTTTTTCCTGAGCTCTGAAATGCTAACATTTTAAAGCAGATATGAATCTGACTGATATTCCAGTCATAACTTTACAACAGAGGTGGGAACCGATGGCCTAAGGAAAACAAATGTGTTTTCTTTGCACAAGAGTGTTTTTAGAAATGGAGAAATTTCACATAAGCATCCAAACTTGTTTTGTCTTAAAAAAAATCAAACATTTTGGCAAGCTGGGCCTAAAATCTCCCATGGAAACAAGCAGCTACTGCTGTAGAGTGGCCATGGCCTTCAAAGATGGCGCAATCTCTCCCTTTTATTATTCTCGCCCAGCCACCATTGCCTTACGTCACAAACCCAGCCTGAGAGGCATTTCTATTTGAGCCCATGATCTAGAAAGCCAATATGTCAGATCAGTTCTCTTTCCCAGAGATGCAAAATGTGAATTGTTTTAAAATAACTACTTTTCCAACTTAACAATATGAGCTGTCTACCATCTTCAGCAATCAGCTCTCCACGGTTTCTACCCTAGAGTTTATATTCTGATCAGGTACTAAATAACACAAGAACATGCATGAGGAAATACCTAGAGAGCTCCACACACTGAAAAAACTTTTCCTACCAAAGTAGTAAAACTTTACTTACCAGTTTGGAATTGGTGACTGGTTTATTTCTCAAAGCTGGGGGTCTATAAGCTGTTGCAGCTTTAGGTTCTTCACTGCGTACATCACTTGGAACTGCTTGGTAAGTTACTGCTTTTCTTGGAAATATTCCATCTAAAAATGGCTGCCAAGAAACCTGCCATAATTCTGCATTTGATGGCATATCATACTTGTGTAAGACAGAGCCGGTATAATGCCAAATTTTGTACCCATTATTAACACGTAACCTGGGAGCACACGTGGCTGTTAAAATATGCTCACCATCTGGGCACCAAGCAAAATATGTAGAATCAGAGGCCACTGGTTTAGAAATAACTTTGTAGTTTTTAACATCCCACACTTCCATTTGTCCCCTCAGATTTCCAAATCCAGCTAGAACTAATATATGTCCATGAGGGCTATAGTAGGCTGCATTACGGGGACCAGTTCCAAAGTCAAACACAGGGTCACATTTCAAGTTGAAAATTGTCGCTTTGGCAGGCATAAAACCATAAACAGCACAGAACTCAGTAGAACTAGAACTCCAAACTACATCATAAATGGGACCGTTTTTTGCTAGAAAAAGAATATAAAATCCAAATTAGCAATAAACAATTAATGAATATAATATTTATTATCATAAACTATAATTATATAACTCATAAACATGTCAAACAGTAAAAATCCAAAAATTTCACGATATATCAAAATTAAAATATTTTTATGTGATATACTATAGAGATTAGTGTATAATCATACATTTATTTAAGAACCCCTAATGAATCTCAATTTCTTTTACACTTTGGCAATGTGGGCTCACAGCAGCATAGGTTATTACTATTAATAAAGAAATAGTTTTTATTAAAAGAGATAGTAATATATGCACACAGTAATAAAAACATAAACTATATAAAAAAGACAAGCCACAAAAATAAGTCCCTACACAAAGGCAATCCTTGGTTAGAGGATTTCTTGGATGTCCTATCAGAATATTATTGTTGAAATTAAATCTCTCTCTCTTAAACGCGCGCGTGTACACACACACACACACACACACACACACACACACACACACACACACAAAACCCCCAAAGTTCTAAACCTTTGTTGTTGCATTTAATACTCTAAGTTAGAGATTTTTCCATATAAGCACATTAAGATCTGCCTCATTCATTCACTCATTTATACCTAATTCTTTTTCAGTTGCACTGTATTCTATTACAAACCTTGCTGCATATACTCCACTGTGAGTGTTTAAATACATCTATCTGTAGGAGTGAAACTGTCTGGTCAAAGGGCGCATACACTTACTTGATAACATACCGTCAAAAGGCCCTTCAAAGAAGTTGTACCAATTTACACTATCGATAGTGCTTGATAGTGCAGATTTCCCTCACTCTCACTCATGCTGTGTAGTTTCATATTTTATCTTTGACAACTTACTAAGGTAAAAAACTGTCTTGTTTTCCTTCCTAATTCTTTTATTATAAGCTAAGCACCTTTTAATATATTTATACATAATTTCATTTCTATTTCTGTGGACTACCTTTTATCATCTCATGCCTATTTTTCTCTCCAGTTATTGATCTTTTATTGATTTACTTGCTATATTAACAGAATTCACCTTTTCTCATACTTATTCCTTGCCTGTCTAAAATAACATTTTCCCCAATTATTTGTTTGTTCTGCTTAATTTACGAACTCTTTTCTTCTCCCAAGTAGAAATCTATAATTTTTATACATTCAAATTTATCACGTTTCCCTTATGACTTGTGCCTTGTTTAGAAAGTCTTTTTCCACTTTAAAATTAGAAAAAAAAAATCTCAACTATTTTCTTCTAGTTCTGTAGTTTTAGGTATAATTTTTTGGTCCAATTGAGATTTATGTTGGTGAAGAGGCAGCATTAAGTTTTTGTCCGCATACCATATATTAAATAATCAGTATTTCCTCCATTGATTCAAATGCTGACTTTGTTATGTATCAGCAGCTATGCAAGTCTAGATCTATTTCTGGATTCTGTTCTGTTCCACTGATTTATCTGTCTATCCATAAGCCAAAACCAAACTATCTTAATTACAACTGCCTTATATTTTAATATCTAGTAGAGTTAGAACTCCCCCTGCCCTACTCTTCTTTTGCAATTTTTAAAACATTCTTGCATGTTTATTTGTTCAATATCAACTTTAGAATCAGCATACCCAGTCCAAAAAAAAAAAAAATCTGCTGGCATTTTAATTTAATTTTTCGATCAGTTTGGAGAAATTATATCTTTATAAAATTCTTATTAAAGGTCACAGCTTGTCCCTCAGAAGTTTAAGTTTTCTTCCCATCAGCTCTGTATAATTTCTTGTTTTTTGGTGCTGTATATGGTATCTTTCCTTCCCCTATGGATTTTCTATTTTAGCTGAGCCATCCTGCTCCCTGCTGGCAGCTCAGTGGCAGCTCAGCTCGGGCCGCGAATCAAATTGGCGACCCTATTGCTCAGAGCTCACACTCTTGAGCACACTCTTAGCCAACTGAGCCCCTATGGTTTTTAAGTGGCTGTTGTTTATACTGTGACTTCATCTAGATGAGCAGGGATGGTTTTGATTTTCATTGTACAACTATATATTTTTTGATCAGTTACACTGACTAGGTCTTTCAAAATGTTAACAGTGGAAAGGGGAATCATCCTTATTTTGTTTCTGACTTTAATGGAATACATAGTTTTTTGTAAGGAAGGTTACCTTACTTTTATGTGTTTCATTCAAAATAAAAAAATTAGGGAGTTGCCAAGACTTTAAAACTATATTATTTTACAGTTAATTTAGCTCATCAAAACAAAAGATGAAGTGCTAATAATCTTCAGTTTGGAAGATTGTGTTAAACTCACTAGATGAGCTTACTGTACTAATAAATAAGTCCCAGAAGAACTACCACAATGAACACTTCACTCAGCAAGCTCTCTAATTAAGTGCTAACATAACTAAATTCTATCAAAATAAGGTTTGTTTGGAGATGATTTTAAGTTTCTTAAGAGAAATTAATTTTATCTTAAAGGTTATAAAATACATGAGTTTTAGCACTTAATCAAGAACTTAGGTTACATCACCTTTATGGCACAGTATTTACTATAATTTTTATCAAAGGAAGACTGCTGAAATACTCACGTAATTGCACTACGGCACTCTCTCCGTTGGTTGCAATGTAGTGCAGCGTTTGTTCCCCATAGTAGGAAGCTCCTGTCTTGTCAACTTCCGTGCTAGCTATTACCAACACAGCAGTAGCTTTAACAGTACAAACTTTAATTAGATTTAAAACACAAATTAACCTAATGGTGATAAAAAAATTTAAAAACGTAACAGAGCCATGAAAATTTTCATTACATAAGCACTGATACTTCTTTTTCTATACACACAGGAATACAAGTCTAAATCAATACTTGATAAACAAAATGAGAGATAAAATATATTTATCATACCTTTTTTGTTCCATAGCATTGTAACCTTATCTGCCTTAAAGAAACTTTTATTGGCTAAAGCTGCATGAGGTCCATCAAAGTTGGGGTACTGATATAATCTAACAAATGAAGGTGCACCCTTACTTCCTGGAACATAGACAGCCACCTAAGATACACAGATGTAAATCATTATTTAATCTTTTGAAGCATTTAAACTAAGATGGACATTTTTTTTACAGTCACTAAAGACTAAAAAAGATTTAATCTCATAATATTGTACCTGAACAAACAAAAACATAGCAATTACCTTGTATGGTTGGGGCCCAGGTGATAACACAAAATCATTGATTTTTTGCAAATGCAATTTATTTGCAATTGTATCTAAAAAAAAATAAATGGTGTTAGATTGATGAAAGAAATTAACAGTGCTATGTTAAATTCTGAACGAATTATAAAAGGTTAATGTAACTGTACACTAATACTGCTCATTGTAGCCTCATGTAGGTGAGAAAGAGTAACACACTAGAAAAAGCATGGGGGGGAAGCAAGACAGACCTACACTTTAATTCCTACTCAGTCACTTCCTTGCTGTGTGACCCTGGGCAAGTAATGGGATTATATGCCTAACTCCCAGTGATTGAATTTTTTTTTTTTTTTTTTTAGCTGAGCCATCCTGCCACCTGTTGGCAGCTCAGCTTGGGCCGGGAATCAAAGTGGCAACCCTGTTGCTCAGAGCTCACACTCTTGAGTGAGCTCTTAACCAACTGAGCCACTAGGCTGGCGCCAGCAACTGAATTTTAAGAGCACAGTGCCAGGCACATAATAGGTATTCAATAAATGTCAGTTCTCTTCAACCCCTGAAATAAAGTAGTTTTAGAGCCCATTAAATGGGAAAGATGACTCTAGCCTGCTACTATAGAATGTGGAAATGGAAATTCTGTAACTAATTGCAAGATAATGATGATCAAAACAAGAGTAACAATGGCTGGTATTTATTGAGTGCTAACTCTGTGCCAGCAGTCAGAACCCATGTTATAAACAATACTGCTCCCTTAGTTACTGGGATCAAGAGCCATTTCTCTTTCTTTGTTTAAAGTCATAAATCAATAGCTGTTCAAAAGTAGCATACCAAATGGCCAAAATGGCAGTCTCCCTTCTTTTGGTATGCTCACAAAGAGGCAAGTAAGATAAGCAAGCAAGCCAACCTAAAAATCAATGGGGGCAGAAATGAGTCTCAAATCCAGGAAAATGAAGTGTACGGCTATAATGACTGTGTTAATAATGTTTAAAATCAGCCTGTATGCCATCTTTGGTACATGTGATCAGTTATCAATTCCTATTCTACTTTAATATACTCAAAAGTGTACAGTCATTAATGCGCTAAGGGCAAAAGGAACTGCAAAACTTTTTCTTTAAATTATGTTCAGTAATCATATTATTGGTATTACTGTTGGTATTATCATTCTAAGAACACCATGTGGTTAAAGTGGAATGAAGCAAATGAATAATTATGTGAGTGTGATATTCAACTATCACCCTGGTATCCCAGAGAACCAGGTTTCTGGTGTTGGCAAAAGGCAATACAGATATAAGATAAAAAACAAACAAACAAAAAAAGGGCCTAGAAACAATGATCAATACAGTAGCAATAAGAACCCCCCACACCCAGACTGTGGTCTCTAAATACCATTTCGCACTAAAAGGAGCCAGAGTATCTTGAAGAATTGGCTGATTCTAGGTGTACAGCGGGAAATATACAAGATAATCCTAGGACACCTTAGCTTACCATATAGTAAAGAAGTCATTAAAGACTAATTGTCCAAGGATGGGATAATGTGAGCAGCAATAATAACAATTGCAATGGACTGAAACACAACATATATGTTTAAATCTATAGTTCATAATAATGGAGGTATAGGGAAACTAATTGGTTGCAATGAAGATTGTTAGAGAAAGAACTCATTATATTAAAAGTGATAAAGGGAAAGAATATTTATCCTGCCTTTCCTGTGTAAATGGCACCACTAGGTAACCAAATAGTAGATGAGGGAATTTCTCTTTGTAGAAGTAGTCCAGCTAATAAATAAGAGGGGAGGAAGGTAATCAGAATATTGCCAATTTGCAACCACTCATAAACTAATAATCTAGGCATTGAACATTAATGTCAGCTATAATAATTCTACAAAATTAAAGACAGTAAGACAGTATGTGCTTCTTGATAAAAGAACTGAATACTAGCTCATGATGCAGTCTTGCCCTCATATTCCCAAAAAAGAACCTGAAGCTGACCAACTCTAGATCCAAATTAGCTACTGACAGGGGACAGATGAACATTTTAAATTATAGGATGGGATACTATAGCAAAATTCAATCTATGAGAAAATGTATCGGATAAGTAACCTTGTTTAACTAATTAATAACCTTGTTTAACTAATTAATAAACTACAAGGGTTCCTCCAAAGATGGAGAGGGAACCTATAGCTTAAAAAAAACTTAAAAGATATATCAATCAATTGCAATGTGAGGAACTTGTTTTGGATCCCGAGTTTTAAAAAAATTATAATATTTGCAACTATTAGAAATTTATACACTGGACAGGTAATTTAAATCTGTGATAGTGGTCTTCTGTCTAAATTAAAAAAATTAAAGAGTCCTAACCTTCAGAGATACCAAAATATTTACAGGTAAAATTACACGATCTTTAGAATTTGTTATAGCAGAGTAAGAGAAATGGAAGATAGATAGATGGATGAGGTAGGATTGGGAATGGGTGGATGGTTATTGGGGCTAGATGTCTACTTTTGTGTTTGAAATTCTACACAATAAAACATTAAAAAATTTGTATCATAGAATTTCAATAGCAAATAAATTCAGAAAGAGATATTCAAATATCTTAATAGAAATTATGAGATAATAAAGTTATGAAAGAAAATCTGTTATAAAATTTCACTAGCATTTAGACTGACAAGTTATTCAAATGAATTAATAACAATTATTTATATATTAATATACAGCAATGTATTAATATTAACAGTATTTTGGAGAACTCTACGATGCAGTAAGGCAATAAAAGCTATATACATTTATAGTAAATAATAAAATTAATTCATAAATCTTTCCATACTGAAATTGTTGTTTTCAAAGAAGTGAACTTCATTATTAACATTTCGGGCACAAATAATTTCATCATCTGACCAGGATGGACACCTACATTGAAACGAAAGAATATAAAAACACATGTAGACAGATTGTAACATTACGTTATCACGAAAAGTTTGTGATATTGTTTACTACTTAAGGAAAAATACTTATAATATGATGTTATTTACTAACAGTTTTAGTTACCATATGTAATAGAAAAATAGTGTTCTTTTTCAGGCAAATACTAAACAAAAGAAAGATCAACTGTTTATTACATTCCTACATACAAAATCCTCAAAGATCTAGATTTTGGTCTGACAAGTTACATTCTAAACCAATACCAAAGAAATAAATATTATACAACGAAGATACTTAAAGTATTTTGTAAATAATTAATACTTAAAGCATTTATTTACCAATTTTGCACTTTTTTCTGGATGAAAGACTTTAAACATGTTCCAGTTTTCACATCATAAAGTTTTAGGTTGGGAGTCCCAGCTGTGCCATCTTTAGAAGCTACAATAAAAACAATTTTTTGTTGTTGCAATAATTGTCTCCTAACACTAGTAAAAAAATTTTCATTCTTTGAAAAAATTTGAACAAGATTATAAAGATCATGTATGAGTGTTGCTTTAAATCAACTTTCCCCACTAGCTTTACTTATGGATTTAATTATCCATTCCTAAAGCATGACAATATGGCAGCTATCTGAGCAAAAGTTCAGCATTTCTAAAATGAGTTAATTACTACAGATTTTAAGAATACTTAAGAGATTTCTTGTTTATCAAGTTAGACATGGTTTGCTGTTAAATGGATTAATTTGTCTTACTATGAAAGCTTTTATGTACAAGAAACACACACACACACACACACACACACACACACACACACACACACACACACACACAGTTATATAAAACCACCCAAGATTCTCAACTGATTTTCAATTTTCCTTTTATTTACTTGGAAAAATAAGATTATTAGAGTCCATGCCTACTAGAAGAACAAACCCAGGTTTATAACCCAATGAGGAACAATGATCATATATTTATGCAATAATATCCATACATAACTTGAAAATGTTTCTTAAAATAAACCCTTATGCCAATTCCCAATATTTTATTACTCATCTATGAAGCATAGCTACATAAAATGTTCATATAACATATTATTATATCTCTAAATGGGCTAGAAAATGACACACCATTTCCGATTCTTTGTCATACTATACACATTTTTTAGCTGTTGTGTCTATTGTACTTCCTCTTTCATTTATGATGATTTAAAAGGTTTTTATTTTAAAAGTTATATTCTTCTTAATATTTAGATCTTCTCTATTCAGTGGTTATTTACTTTCTAAATTTTCCCTTGGCTTTTTCTTTTCCTCCATCTCATGATGGATCTTTTCACTTATTATACTTGGAAATTATTTAAAGTCCATTGTATTTGGGGAATACAAGATTTATTGTTGGTTAAAAATATTCACATACTATTTACTACCATATAGGTTAATTACTTTTTTATAAGGTTGTAAACTCTTTTCTCCCACTGAATTGAATTGATCCTGTATGAATATTTTCATAATTGGAAAATACTTACTAGTGTAAGGCTGCCACGTTGCCAGGACAGTGTTTTTTGGCGAGAACTCAAGGCAAACTGCCTTTGGGAGGTCGAAGGAGTGCAGCAGTCCCTTGTTAGTGACATTGAAAATATTTACTCTGGTTTCAAAAGAAATTACTTCAGCAACGGAATACTGTTTCACAATAGCCAGCACTACCCAAGACAGTCATACCCCTTTTCAAATATAGATCACTCTAAAGTGTTCATTTTTCATGTAAATCAATTTTCGGTGAGTTCTAGAAAATATCCAATAAACACCTTAATGAAAAAAAAGTGTACATTTTACCCAAAGGCCCCTATATAAGGCTGGGGTTGAGAAATAATATCGAATTAGTAGAAAGACACAATAGATAATTCTACCTTCAGCTGAAAAGGAAAAAACTGGCTTTTAGGTGAACAGAGCCAACTAACCTATCAAGAGGCTGAGGCACAGCAAACCAGAGAAAAGAGATGCTAAAACAAAAGTATATTTTAAAGTTTGGGTAAATGAAAGCTGTAGTAGCTGAGGAAGTCAGCAAAGAGACTTTTGATGTATGTTAAAATCTCAGAAGCAGTCTCCAAAAGATGGAACTGTAAGAATCATTGTGGTACGATAATAACAAAAATTACAATTACATAATAAAAGCAGTTTCTATTCTTTTGGATGCTTTCTATGTACCGTGTTCTGTTCTAACCACTTTACGTACATTTTCTCATTTAATCCTCACAACCGTCTTATAAGATAGGCATTATCATCTTCATTTTGTAAGTGGTGAAACTGATGCATAGAAAAATTAAATGATTTGATGATTTACCCAAGATCATATTATGGATAAATGCTAGAGCCATACTTTAAAACCAGCTTGGCCTGACTTGCTTGCTCTTATGTAATCTTTGGGGTTAAAAAAAAAAAAAGATACTCCATCTTATTTCAAACATTGATTAAAGTTACTTTGTTCTACTAAAATTTGAGGACACTGAGTTAGTATAAGCAGAAATTGATAATAAACCATTACTGCATACTGTTTCAACACACACACACATGAGATTTTTTATAACTTACTATAAATTATACCTTTTAGAATTATATGAAGCTTCCTTTTTTGTTGTTGATAACTTTTAAAAGTTATTGTTAGTTTAACAAAGGGTACTTACTTATTTTAATTAAAAAAACTCCCCACATATTTAAGGAAAAATCAGTTATAGTTTCTGGCTTAGTTAACCATGAACTCAGCAAGGACCAGTCAATACACTACATCTGTTTCTCTTGCCCCAGGAACATTATATATCATTGTGGTCACAGCACTTTAAGGAAATAAATGTTAGAACCAGGTATAGAAAATATCTATTAAAAACATAGATACAACATATGGGGACATATTAAAAGGATTCAGAGTTGAATCCAATAGAAAGCCAAGTAGGGATATAAATAAAGTATATACAAAATAGTAATTGCCAAGGTAAAAGCAGACTTACTCAAGAAACTCAAAAAGATACCTCAAAAAGATAATAGACAATGAAAAGAAGTATGGTATGTCCCACTAGACAGTAAATTTCTATTAACTCATTACTTAAATAGTATAAACTAAAATATGGATTTAAAAAAATGAAACCCAAATACCCACAATAGTTTACACCACCCCCCCCTGAAAAAAAATTAAAAAAAATTTCAGTATATTCTTTCTTTTAGACTGAGATTAAGACTGTCAACATGGATAAGCCCCAATACGATTACATACTTAAAATAACAACAAAAATAACTTTAAACCAAGCAACAAATACTTGGGCATTTTCCTGGGTCTGTGAACTGAAATGTTATAGGGACTATGGAAAAATTAACAAGGACTGGTTTTCTTGGTGAAATTATGAATATTTAATCAAAATACTTATTTTTTTGCAAGACCAATTTTGTAATCTGATTATTTTATGTAACATACACTATAGTAAACATACTTTTTAATAACTTACAAATACTTAGATGATACTTTTATACACAATAAAACTAATAATAACTGCAGATAACTGCTATTAGTTTAACAGCAAAGATATAAAATATCTAAATCTAAGGTATACAAGCAAAGAATTATTCTCTAAGTGTTAGTGCAGAACTTAAGTAACTCTAACCAATAACTTGGAACACTATTTAAAACAACCTCTCAGCTTCTTCAGGATTAAATTAATGCCCTTTTTCATATATTTTTAATTTGAAGTAACTAGATAAGTCCAACAAGTCATGGCACATAAATAGAAACTAACAACTAACAACTATTCTATGGAAGTTATTATGTTGGAGATAATACCTAACTGCATCATGACATTAAAAGATGAACTTTATTAATAAGACCCAAATACATGATATTCAAATAATGACAGTTATGCTTTATGTTCATGACACATACATAAAATGTTATATAAACGGACACTAACTTTTCTCCGTTGCCCCAGGCAAACACGGTCCCGTCCTTACTAAAGGTATAGACATTGCAATTTTTCCCAGATTCCCTGAAAAGGACACACAAAAAAGTTTAAATTAATAAGCGTTACTACTTCTCTAAAAATCCACAATTTTACTACAATTTAATGACTAAGAACTTAACGTAAACTTTAGAAAATAATTCAAAATGTTTTTCAGTCTACCAAAATACCTTCTCTCTCTTTTTTTTTTTAAAGATTTTTATTGGGGAATTCGGGGGGATGGAAACAGTGCTGGGGAATTGGGGGAAGGGGAACAGACAAGTTGCTGTCGTTTGTTCTTCAGTCTAGTTGTGGAGGATGTTGCTTCACTGGCCCAAGTTGGCACCATCATTGTGCTCTTCCCGGGCGAGGAAGATCAGTTGCTGGCTTCTGGACGGCCACTCACTGCGGCTGCTGGCCGCTCATGCTGGCTGCTGGCTACATACGGTAGTCCATGGCAACTCACTGCCACAGGGGCTGCAGCCTACGCTGTAGCCGGCAACCCACAGCAGCCCAGCTCCAGGTAGAGCTGTTGTTCAGCATCTTAGCTGTGGAGGGCAGTGTCACTGGCCCTCATATGTGGGATCCGATCAGCGGCACTCTGGCATCCCAAGCCAGTTCTTAACCATCGAGCCACTCGGCTGGCCCAATACCTTCTCTCTTAAAATGTAGTGTCAGTCAGCAACCACCGTAAAGTAAGCTGGAAATTGACTTCATACCAACAGATCAATTTTAAGAAAGACAAACAGCCCTTCTGGCTGAATATCTAGTTTGTATGATAACCCAAAAATGCAGGTGAATGTGCAAGTTACCAGCCATCAATCAGCCTGGGTACTGAAGGGGCTGAAGGATTTCAAAATGGATACTTTGTGAAGAATGACCCAAACCACCTGCATAGCAAAACAATGGTGGCTAGAACATCCTCGAATGACCAAGAAATGCCCCCGGATCTGAAGGGCAAATACTTTCCATCAATTTCTAGAGACAGAATGTATCACAAGAGGATCTTCGCATTAAATAAAATCAGATGCAGGATTCTGTATAAAAACAGACGTGAAAATCGGACTTCTTGGGCAATATTCTATCAAATGATCAAAACTCTAAGTACTGTTTCTCTCAATTGGAGGTGACTAATAAAGACCCAAACAGAAATGTGCATGTGTGTACATGTAGGTGTCCATATGTGTGGTTACAACATTAGATCAGAACTTCATGGCTAATAAATATTTGAATTATTAAATAAGTGTTTGAGAACTGACCAGTACACACCTCTTAGACTAGATACTATCTTTGCATTAATTCATCTGAAGATGACATTTGTGTTTCCACAATCACACAATAATGGCAGCTTATACTCAGTTCGTGGTTACTGAAATATTTTTCTTTTTCATAATAAACAGCCATGAGCAAGATGTCCTCCATCCTATACTTGTGCAACTCATTTTTTAATCTGAAGGCAGAACTGTACAATTATCATATTAAATTCCACCCAGGTTTTGGCTCGTTATTCCAGCTTACTGAGATCTATTTACAACTTGATTTTCTCTTTTAAAACATTAGTCATTTCCCTTGAAAAAAAAAAACAAATAAAAAAACCAAGACAACAGCTATTCCTTACAGATTTATGGAATGTATACATTATAAAACATCATCCTAAGCTATCATCTAAATAAATTATAAGATTGCTGAATGAGCTTGGAACAAGATCCTGTGGCTCACCAATAGTCCTTGTCTCAAACTAAAATCAACTCATTAATCTGCGGATTTCACAGCTCTTAACCAATGACAACTCTGTCATTATCATCATCCAACCAAAAGACATTATCATTTCTCAGATACTTTGTTAAATCATGTTCATAGTTCTATTCTGATGTGTCTGGAAATTCTACTCAGAAAGGAAATAGATAAGCTTAAAACAATTTGTTCTTAACAAGCTCATTTTGACTCTAATAGTCACCTCCTTATCTCAATGATTACAAATGGTCCTTTTAATAACTCATTCTAGAATTGTGTTTAAGATTGAATGCAAGCTTACTAGACTATCATATCCAGAATTTAATTATTTTCTTACACTTGGCAATTGGGAAGTTTTGTCTATTTCCTTGTGGTACAATCTTTTAAACAAAAAATTTCAAATATAGACAAAAATAGAGAACAAGTACCTACCCATGAATCTATCACCAAGCTTAGATAATTATTAACTCATGGCCAATTTTGTTTAATCTACTCCCTACTTCTAATATTTAATGCCAGAATATTTTTTTTTCGGATAGATTTCTTTATTAGTAAATAACCTAATTTGCCAATGCCAGAATATTTTAAAGCAGAACCAGATCTCGTATCATTTTACTCTGTACTTCAGTAGGCATCTCTAACTGACGAGGACATTTTAAGAAAACAGTCACCACCATTCCACTTCACCTCGTAAAATTAACAATAAGTCCTTACTATCTTTTAATACCCAGTACTTGGATATCTGGGTGTTTTAAAGCTCTCTGGGTCATTCTAATGTGCAGCCAAATAAGAGAACCTTAATCTCAAAGCTTGATTAGAACCAGTTTTTTGGTGTTTTTTTTAATCTTCATAGACAGTAAGCACCGTGTAGCTCCTACTGCAAGTCCCCAGGAGACACAGAATGAATGTCTCCTTGTTCTACTCTTAGCGATGCTTAGATTGCACTGGACTCATTATATGCCTCCTCAGATCTCCCTGGCTCTCCCTGTCCCAGGCATCAGCTATTCAATGAAGAGGCCTGGCTACCTCATCTCCCACCACTGTTGTCTCAGACCCTCCAGGAGTGAGGACCACATTTCAGCATGGCTTCCATTATGCCTACCATAGTAGCAAGAGGCTCTGGCATTCAGATTCAACCCGAAGAGACCAAGAGAAGCTGCGGCTATAGATAAATTTCTTACCCTTCCTCTCCACTACAGATTGTTTAGAGGCACAGTGGTTCCATATAGCCTTTCTGAGACATTCTGCATGACCAAGCAACCTGGAACCTGGCTGTATTCCAGGAGTCTATGGGTACCTCAGTGCATCTCATGTTATATTTGTTTTCACTTCTTTGCCTCATTCCCTTTTTCTTTTTTTAAGTTGAGACATCCTGCCACCTGTTGGCAGCTCAGTGGCAGCTCAGCTTGGGCCGGGAATTGAACCGCTGTTGCTCAGAGCTCGCACTCTTGAGCGAGCTCTTAACCAACTGAGCCACTTGGCTGGCCCCGTTTTCCTTGTCTTACTGCCTTGGGATTGCATGCATCAATGAAGTGCAGCACAAAAGCTTTGAAACACATTCTTGTTTTCTAGAGCAGTACTTTTCAAACATTAATGTACATACAAATCACCTGAGTATCTGGTTAAGGTACATATTCTGATTCTGGGTAGGGGCTGAGATGCTACATTCTGCACTGGTTCAAGGTGATACCAATATGGCTAGTCACAGGCCCACCCTCCCGTAACAAGGTTCTAGAGAACTTAGTCTAATAAAAAATTGGTCTGGGGCCGGCCGAGTGGCTCAGTTGGTTAAGAGCTCGCTCAAGAGTGCGAGCTCTGAGCAACAGCGGTTCAATTCCCGGCCCAAGCTGAGCTGCTGCTAAGCTGCCAACAGGTGGCAGGATGGCTCAACTTAAAAAAAAAAGAAAAATTGGTCAATAGATTCAGGTGACGTCAGCCTGATTATAAAGTTCCCCACCAACAGTTCATCTCCCAGTGTCAGCTTCTTTTGATGATCATTTGCCTTGGTCAGTGCTTCTCAAATTGGGGTCCCCAGACTTGTAACATTAGCATTACCCGGAAATTTGTTAAAAATTCCAATTCTTGGGTCCACCCCGGATTTCATGAATCAGAAAATCTGGGGAGAGAACAGCAACCTGTGTTTTAACAAGCTTTTTAGATGATTCTAAATGCATGCTAAAGTTTGAGAACCACTAATAGGTGATTTCTTGAGGATCATAAAATAAGGATTATCTAATTACATTAATCCTTCTGTATTTGTTAACTGGAATTCTATAAAAAAGTTTTCCTCACCAATAATTTGGTTACTCTGAAAAAGTTTGTACGGGAAAGGCAAGATAAATATTAATTCCTCTTTATTGATCAATATTCAAAGAAATGACCAAGGACCACACATCAACCTTTAATACTGACCAATAAGATTTAGAAGAAGGGGGATTTTGGGAGGAAATGTTTATACATGTGACATATCTCAATCCTTTTAGTCATAATTATTCTTAATTCTCAAACTTTCCCAATAGGTTGGTGTGAACCCTTCAAGTTGACTCCTGTGGCCCCTTAACAAAGCTCCATTAGTCTTATATAGCTTGCTTGTTTTCTGCCACCACGTGTCTGTCTCTAGCTCAACTTGTACAGTTTCTGTCCTAGACCTAGAGTCAGCCACTTCTCTAAGAAACTGGTTCCTGTTAGTGAAGAATGGTGTTCAGAGATCACAATCTGTGAGGCAGGGGTATTCATTCACTACTGTTAGGTTATCACTGCTTCTAGACCTTTTCAGTGGATAGAACTAGGAAATACAAATGATTTTATGAAAACAAAACCCAAAAAAAACCCCACCAAAAACAAAAACGTGAGTTCATATTGATATATGTAATCTATCCCTTCACTGTTATGCTGAAAATCTTGGTTCCTAATGACATTAATATAATTATTTGTTTTATCCTAAAATAGATTTTAAAACGACAGTATCAAAATAACAAAATTATTGAGTGCATTTAAGAATTTTGCAGGTAATCTTATGGTTATGCCTTCAACTTAATATAAAGCTAGGTTCATGTGTTTCCATTTTTCATTTTAATTTTGTTTTAAAATTTAAAATAACATGGTCAAAAGTCAAAACTATATATACACCAACATTCATTCATAGACATGTCCCCTGCATTCTGTAACTCTCTCTCCCCCTACAGATAATCACTTTGATTAGTTTTTGGTTTACCCATTCATTGTTTCTTTTTGGGAAAAATATATTTATATCTGTTTTAGCTTTATATTTTATACATTTTCTCCCATATTTCCTTTCTTTCTTGTACCTTTTTCACTTTGTGATTTCATGAAAATTAGAGGCAGTGGTTTGGCTATCAATATTTGCAAGTTTATCTTTTCCTAAGATAAAAATTCTTCCAAGCTAGAGGCTTGAACTCAACTATACTATTGTCTATATTTTTTCTTCTAAACATGCTTATTTAAGCTATTATTTTCAAATCTAAAGCTTATTTTTTTTGATAGAGAACACGCATTCTTTTCATCTTCTGTTAATATTACACAATATGTCCCTAGAAACTAGCTGATCTTTTTCTTTCTTGTTCTATAACAACAACAATAATTTAGAATGTATTATAGAGTTCCCTCTAATATCACTCAACAAAATAAACCATACCTTGGAAACACTGTGCTTTCTGTAAAATGTGGTGGTCCATTCACCATGTACAGTCCTTCTGATCCTCGGACTAAAGAAATAAAATGGAAAGAAAAAGCCATGACTTTGTTAATATTCAGTTTTATATATGTCTTTTAAAAAGGCAGACTTTTATTCCTATCTGGCTGTGGAACCTTGGCTGCATCACTAAATCTGTGCCCTAATCTGTAAATGGAAATATTAGAACACAGGGTGGCAGTGTGCTTCATATAAAATAACAACATGAAAATGTAGTATGTATTCAAAGTTATTAAAAAATGCAGGGTATTATTAATATATTTATAATTTCTCAAACTAAGAGAGCAAGTGAGATTAGACACCTTCATTTACAAGGCCCCCAATGACAGTAATACCCCAAAATACTAAGTATGAACAAAATTCAAGATTAAATAAGCAAAAACATCTATTGAACTAAATTATACTTTTAAAATTTTTTATTTCTTAAATTAAATTTATTGGGGTGACAATGGTTAGTACAGTTACATAGGTTTCAAGTGTACAATTCTGTAATGCATCATCTATATATCACATTGTGTGCTCACCACGCAGAGTATACTTTTGAAAATGGCTGAATTAGAAGCTTCTAAGGCTGAATGAACTAAATTCATCTAGTCAACAGCTGTTTATTTGGGGAAAAACTGCCTCCCAGATCTTACGTTGCGTAATGGAGCTACAAGGGGAGGAAAATCTGCCTTGTCAAATAATCAAATAATAAGTCAAATAAATGGAATTCTATAACTATAGATAACTATATCTACAAAGAAAGATATATGGGGCTAATAGAGTGAATAATAGAGTTTTGATCTAAAAATGGAAGGTTATGGAATGTGTCCTTGAATAAGTCATTTGTGTGTTGAGATCTGAATGATGAATAGCAATTACCAAGCAAAGAGAACAGTAACAAGTGCAAAAACGCCAAGGCAAGAGAGATGAGAGAGCATCACAAGAAAGGAAAGAGCCCTGTGTGCCTGGCAGGAGCTGGAGCTGGAGAAGAAACCGGCTCAGGCCAAGCAGACTCTCATGGCCTAAGTCAGGCAATATCAGTCTGTAGCCTAAGAATGGTGGGAAACCAAAAAGGTTTTAAGCAGATTTCTAAAACCAGATTTGCATTTTGAAAAGGTCAATCTGATACACTGTAGACAATGAACTGAAAGCAAGTAAGAGTGGATGTGAAGAGACTATTCAAGATGGTTCTGCAGCAGTCCCCCAGGAGAGATGGAGGAAACCTGGATTCAGGTGGGGTGTGGAAATAGAAAGTGGAGAAGGAATGTTCAATATTTAGGAGATAAAACCGACAGGACTTGGTGATAGGTTACTAGTTTATCAGCTAGAATTCTTGCTAGTAGCAATAATATAAAAGCTGAAAAGAAGAAAAATTGTACAGAAGTCCATGGCCAAAATTACAGCTGCTTCCTTTTCTGCCAGCTATTCACAAATCTTCCATTCTTCACTTGGTTACTGGGAAAACAGCAAAGTTGGTAGACAGGGGCCACTCTTGGCTCCAACTCTGATCCATATTTTCTTTCCCTTCTCCAGGGACTGTTCTCAGAATACTAATATTCTACCTGAGAATTAACTCCCTCAGTTTTCAGATATTGAAAGTAATATAATTTACAATCTCAAACTAAATATTTTAAAATTAGAACGAAAATAAAAGAACCACTGATGAACAAGATAAAAATCTGTCCCCTTAGAAAGCTTCCATTCTACTTGAGAGATGGAAGACAAGTAAACACATAATTGAATGATGAGTTTCTTGTTAGACATCCACAAATATACAACTGGATACCATAATTCCTTATATGCAGAGCACTAGACTGAGCTGCCAAACTGTTGAGGTAGTTTGCCCTTGAACAGAATGGAGCCTAGCAAAGTATTCTGCATATATCAAAATCTAAATTCCTTACACCACAGCTAACAAGGCTCTCTCTATACAATCTGGCTCCTGCATAGCTCCATGTGATAGGCATTGAGTTTTTTTTTAAAGATTTTTATTGGGGAATTGGGGGATGGGAACAGCGCTGGGGAATTGGGGAAGGGGAACAGACAAGTTGCTGTCCTTTTATTCTTCAGTCTAATTGTGGAGGACTTTGCTTCACTGGCCCAAGTTGGTACCATCATTGTGCTCTTTCCGGGCGAGACACATCAGTCGCCGGCTTCTGGACGGCCGCTCACAGCGGCTGCTGGCCACTCACGCTGGTTGCTTCCTACACACAGTAGCCCATGGCAACCCACTGCAGCAGGGGCCACAGCCTACACCATTGCAGGCAACTCACGGCAGCCCAGCTCCAGGTTGAGCTGTTGTTCAGCATCTTAGCTGTAGAGGGCAGTGTCACTGGCCCTCATATGTGGGATCCGAACCGGGGCCCTCTGGCATCCCAAGCCAGCTCTTAACCATCGCGCCACTCGGCCGGCCCTGAAGTTAATTCTTTAGCATCAAAATTCTCAATTGCTTCTCAGCCTTTTGACTATTCTCTAGTACAGGCAAAACAGTACTATTTTTCATCACCAAATAAATCATCTGTATGATATGATTTAGAAGAGGTCATTCTTTTCTTAATACTGTAATTTGTTTTAACAAACATTTATTTGAGGGAGTATTAAAAAATGAATTTCCCAAACTAGGCAGTTCAACTACCGGATTTCACTTTATTCCAAGGTCACACAAAATTCTGCCAGCTTAATGGGCTGGCCGAGTGGCATGTTAGTTAGGAGTTGGCTTGGGATGCCAGCTCTGATCAGCAGGGCCCCGGTTTGGATCCCACCTATGAGGGCCAGTGATGCTGCGCCCTCTACAGCTAAGATGAACAACAACTCGACCTGGAACTGGGCTGCTGTGAGTTGCTGGCAACAGTGTAGGCTGCAGTGGGGCTGGCCGGCAGCGGGTGTGAGCTTTCGGTGAGCTGCCGTCGAAAGGCCAGCGAGCGACTGCCTCACCCGGGAACAGCGCAATGATAATGCCAACATGGGCCACTGAAGCGGTGTCCTCCACAATTAGACTGAAGAACAAAAGGACAGCAACTTGTCTGCTCCCCTTCCCCAATTCTGTTCCCCTCCCCCAATTCCCCAATAAAATCTTTAAAAAAAAAAAAAAGAGGTTCCTCCCACAAGCTACAGTGGCAACTGAACACACTAAGAGCTCTCTTTCAGAATTCACATACAAGCCCAGGAAAATAAAATGGTGCATTGTGAGTGTAGTCCCAATGAAGCTGCAGTGTAATTAGAAAATGTGCCCTATGACGATACAATCAAACCATGTTCTATTGCCGTAACTGCTGGCCCTTGAACATATGCTTGAGGTAACTAGCAAAAAAGAAAAGGAGAAAAGCTTTCCCCAACTCATCTCAGCTTCTTGTGTTCTCATGACACTTGTTACTAGTGACCTTGGTCCTCTACACTTGTTGATTTTGCCATTATCACCGACCACAATGCTTACTTGGGGAAAATTCGGTTTCTGTACGGAACACTACAGTGGCAGCCATGCCTCAGAACCATGAAGATAAGATTTCTGGCCACAGCAGTGAGAACTTTCAGAGTATTCAGGACAATCAGTACAACGATTTCCTTTTCTAAAATTTGTTTCATACCTACATCCCAAACTAAAATAGGTGAAAGACCCCAAAGGAGTTGCTAGACTGATGCTTGTGTATCCCACCCCTCAAATTCATATGTAGAAACTTAATTCCCAAGGTGATGGTATTTAGAGGTAGGGCCTCAAGGGCAGAACCCTCATAAATGGGATTAGTGCCCTTATAAGAGAGACTCTAGGGAAGCTCCCTTGCCCCTTATGTCATGTGAGGACAAAGAGGAAGACAGCTGTCTATGAAAAAAAAGTGGGTGCTTACTAGACACTGAATCTACCAGTGCCTTGATTTTGGACTTCCCAGCCTCTACAACTGTGAGAAATAAATTTCTGTTGTTTATAAGCCACCCAGCCTGTGGTATTTTGTTATAGGAACCCGAATGGACTAAGACAGAGGTGGGAGTAGGGAGGGAAATCCCACAACCCACACTTTTCATGTAGATTATCAACCCAAAATCTTAGAAGGCAACAACACTTTACAGAAAATCAGTGTGAAAAGTGTCATGTCTTTCCCGCTTGAGTAGCATTCGGTCTCATGTGGTTTTCAATTTCTGGTTTTAGTATGTTTCTGGAGAAGCAAAAATCTTGATTCAAACTAACAACTGCTTTTCAACATGCACATGTTCACATTCTAAATAAAGAACACTTTAAAAACAAAAACACAAAGGTTACATATTCTGAATCCATTTATATAAAATTCTTGAAATGACATTTTATCATTATGGAGGACTGATTAGTGGTTGCCAAGGGTTAGAATTGGAAGGAGGGTAACATATGAGTATAATTGGAAGGAGGTAGTATAAAAGGTTAGTATCTTCTTTGTGGTGATGGAGCAGTTCTATGCTCTGATAGTAGTGATTACATAAATCTACTCATGTGATACCTTTTCTTAGTAACATACACATACACACACGAAATCCAAATAAGGACTCTAATTTAGCACCATATTTTGCCGTGTCTAATGTGCACCCATGTTTTGGGTCCAAACTTTCAGGGAAAAAAATTTTTCGTTTTAATTTTTTAATTCAAATTTTTATTTGTTTACATTTAGGTACTTGTTTTTTGTATTATAAAGAAATTTTAGCATTTATTTTTTTAACATATTATGGTACAAGAAATTTTATGTAACAAATGATTACAAAACATAAGAACAGATACAAGGCACAAGAAATTTTATGTACTGGTAACAAATTTACGATATTTATGCATCACAGAAGGCCAAGGACTCTGTCATTACAAGTTTGTCATTAGTTCAACAAAACCGATTATCGTATTCCAGGGTATTATTTTGCATACGGATACTGTTATCAATTTCTAGAGTTACATTTTTAACTCATAAATATAAATAAAAGAATTAAAAACATTTATATAGATACGGAGTTAGTACTACCCATGTATAATGCACATCCTTGTTTTTCTCTCACAAGTTTGGGCAAAAAAGTGAGCATTACACACAGCAAAATACAGTAACTACTACTCTACCAGTGTTGATTTCTTGGTTTTAATAATGTACCATGGTTATATATCATGTGGGAAAGCTAGGTAAAGGGTACAAGAAGCTCTCTATAGTTTTTGCAACTTTTATAGTCTTATATAAAAATTAAGGACCTTTAAAAAGCCGATCATTTTGTGTAATGCTTTGTTCACAATGTGGCAAGAAATTAAACCAAATAGAAGTTTTTCAATATTTCTCAGGAATGGAAATACTGGACAAAAGTGTTAAATGAAAATCAAAAGTTGAGTAGAACAAGAATTTTGTACAAAGGTAAAAACATCCCATGAGACTAAAGTACACATCAAAGCTACTTTAAAGACTGATACTGTTGGTTTCTAGTAAATTAGACAACCTTTGTATACGATGTTTTACAATAGATATGCCTATTTTAGGGGAATTATCAATTGAATTTATCGTAAAAATCATTTAAGTCATTATAGTATTGTTCATACATATAAACTATTTAGAACAAATTTTTTACTTCATACCGCCCTTCATAGAAGCATAACTATATAAAGATCTGCAAGACATTTTGGAACCAATAAAGATACTTTACTGGATTTAATAAGTTGGAGCAACTTTTTATACAAATTTTAATAAATGGATATATAAAATTTATTAGAAGAAACACAAAATGAGGTTCATAACAGAATACAAACTGTATTACAAGTTAAAAGCAAAAATAAATATGGACTCAAAACAAACTCTTTCAATAACAAACAATTTTTTCTACATAGGACTTTGTAATGAGGAATTCATTTTAATTAGAAGTGACTGAATGTGAAACAGTGAATAGAATGTGGAGCTAGCTTAATACAATGTATTGTGGGGTGATACTATTCCTTGATTTTAACGATTTCCCTTTTTAATCAAAGGGGATCTGGTAAATATGTTCTATTAGAAAGAAAAATCTAGAATGCACAGCTCTTTTCATTAAAGCAACAAATAAATGCCAGAATTTCACACAGAATAACTGTTTAAAAACAGTAATTACATTATATATTGTGTGTGTGTGTGTATATATATATATAATATCTTTTTAAAACTTAGGCTTTCCACATACTCACATACAATTTATTACTCTAGGCCTGAAATTATGAGTTAATATGAGAAAACTACTGGGCTTCAGCAAACAAGGGTCCTATGCCAGGGATATATATGGTGATCATTATGATACTCTTTCCAAACTTTACATCCACTGAAATTCATATCAATTTAGGAAAATGGCTCAACTTTGAATAAATTATCTCAATGGTTTCAACTAGGCAATCTGATTACACAATATGGGTTTCATGTAAGGCCATTCTTGTGTTACATGCCCAGCATTCAGCATGCCCTCTCTTTTTAGGGGACTCTGATTTTCCTTTGGGAACTATTCAATGGTGCGAATATACTTTGGTCCTGGTGATGTGATTAAAATTTGACTGATTCAAAGGTGAGCTAGAGGGCCGGGTGAGTGGCTCAGTTGGTTAAGAGCTCGCTCAAAGGTTTGAGCTCTGAGCAACAGCGGTTCGAGTCCGGCCCGAGCTGAGCTGCCACTGAGCTGCCAACAGGTGGCAGGACGGCTCAGCTAAAAAAAACAAAACAAAAACAAAGAACGAGTAGCAATTCTCAAAGATGAGCTAGAGCCAAGCCAAGCCAAGCCAATGACAGCCAGACTTGAGACTGGCAAAAATGTGCTCTTTCCTTTGGGGTTGCAGAACTGGTTGAATGTAAACATGGAGCTCCCATGCAGAACGTTAGTTTGAGAATGAATTTAATCAAGAGAAAAGCAAGAGCCTAGGGAGGAAGAAAAGCAGATATTTGGAGTCATGTGAATACCTGGATGCAGCAATACAGAAGCTTTACTGTTACATGAATCTTCCTACAAAAATCCCCTTTTCACCTGCTTTTTTTGTTAATTCCAACTAAAAGTCCTGACTAATAAAATTTACTGGATGATCTCCAAATCATGCACAACTCCAAAATTCCATGAGTCTAAGTTTAAAAAAGATTCTGGAAGTAAAATAATCTATTGTTAACTAAAATATCTATACTAAGAATGCTTAAAAGATGAATCAGTATGTTCCAGTGGTGGGAAAATGAAGGACCATGAAGTGGGATGACTGGTGTAATTCTGACTCTGCCAATTTGCCATGTGAATCTGACCACTTACTCTCTCTGGGCACCTATGAATATGAGAATATCATAGGATATTCACAGAATATCAGGAGTTCACAGTCTAGCAGGGGAGAAAAGCACCTAAATAACTAGATAATTTTCCTATGTGATAAGTGAGAAAAAAAATTCAAATAACTTATGAGGTACAAAAATAGCCTGGAAAGAAAAATATCTGGGAAGAGTGAGGAAAGGATTTATGAAGCAATGAAGCCTGAAGTTAATTTTAAAAGATTAAAAGAAGTTAGCCAAGTAAAGAGAAACAGGATAGTCCTAGACTAAAGAAATACGTTGCTCAAGAGTTTTATAAGCAGTTCAATAGAGGAGCACAAAATAGAAGGGAGTGACAAGGAAATGAATGTCAAGAGCTATTCAAAGGTTATAAAGGGTTACACAGCCACTGTACAGATTTTAAAAGGGAAGAAAATTTATTAGATTTTAGAAGTACTATTTTTTTATTAAAATTCAAATAAGCATTTAGTATTCCAAAATTGTAAATAACATACAAGCGATCTTTACAAAGCTAGAGAAAAAGGTTCACTTAATTATATGATTATGCCTTTTAAACAGTATCTGCCTGGCATATTATCTAACAAATTATAGTCAGTATTTGATAAAATGTATGATGAATAAACTGTGGTAGCCAGACTGAATATGAGTGGGCATGGTGCTTAATAACAAAGATCTTAAAATGTGGAATGACAAAAAGTGCAAAAGCTAAAAGGGTCCTTTCAAGTCTCAGGGGAAAATAACCCCGTTCCTCAAATGTAAACAATCTTTTTCTTAATGACTTCTTTTTTCCCTCTATGTGTAATTAACAGTGACTTAATCAAAGCCTTTTCCCTCCCAACTCTCCCCTCCTTACTTGATATATATGAGACCCCCAGCCATTACCCTAGTACTGAGTCTTCCCTGACATTGTTTAAGATTATCATCTTCTCTAACATTATAAACTCTGACTCAGTTTCAAAATCTCAGGAATCCTCTAATGTTCTAATTCTAAAACGCTCATAACCATTTCAACATCAAACGTTGCCAGATTATCTCAATAATGTTCACTGCTACCACCCCAAGACCACACTTTCTTCATTTGAAAACTACACTGCCACAGCTCTACTCTCTATTCAGTCCTACAAATTTCATTAAAGCAAGGGGTACAGAATTTGGTATTACTTAAATGCAGGTGTTTTTGTGTGTGTGTGGTCATTCTATTGTGTGGTCATTCTAATGTTTATATTTTTTCCTTATCACACAGCTAAACAACTTTACACCGTCAACAAGGTCTATCAATACATAAGGGTTCATGCAACACTAGTATTGCAAACCCAGAGTAACAAATTCAACTAACATTTTTTGTTCTTATCTCCCTTCCTTATTTCTAGAGAGCTTGAAGCAGCAGGGAAGAATGACGGACGGCAAAAGGGAGGGGAAATGCAGGCTCCCAGGCGCGGGGTCTCACTTCCGATTGCCACGCTACACCAAGAAACCCAAAAGGCCCTCCGGCTCTTCCGCAATCAACAAGCAAAGGCCGATCAGACTCCAAGGCTTCTCTGGTAGCCCCCAAAGGCAAAGATACAAAAAAGAAACTGCTCTGAAGAAACAGTCCCTGGCTCGTTCAGAACTCACCTGTCAGGAGCGGCGTGGACGGCGCCATGTTGTCCCGGAAAAAGAAATCCATGCACTCGGGTCAGAGTTCACAAGGGCCAAACCCGGCCCCTACACGTATCCTCAGGCGTGAAGACGGCGACTTGGTATTTCCGGAGTCACCAGCCTCGGGGACAATTCACTTCCGGTTGGAGAGCGCAGCAGTCAGGGAGCCCCAGAGCGCACGCGCAGCTCTGGGGGGGCCACGCTTAATAGACCTTGGGAGGGTTGGGCTAGGTCCCATGAGCCCGCCTTCGCCCTCCCGCTCTCTCTTCTTTAGCAGGCGGAGCCCGCACTTCCGCGGGGTGGAGTCTGCCCAGTGCTGACGTTGGCAGCCGAACCCGAAGTAGATCGAGGCGAAGGGCTGCACGGTCCGCTTGTTGGCGTTGCATTTCCATCCTCTTTCACTCCACGCTCCCAGCGGCGGCGGCGGTGTGAGGAGTATCGCGGCGGCCTGGTCTCCTCCTGCGCGCCCGCCTCACTCGGCCGGTCAGGCCGGCGTCCTCAGTCAGTCGGCGGCCCGCGCCCTGCTAGCGTTCAGCCCCCGCGCTCGCCGCGCCCAGGCCCAGCGGCTGGAGCTAGCGCCCTGCCTGAGAACCTCCTCGCTCCGGCGGCACGGGCACCGGGAGCGGAGCGTCGCAGCGGCCCGAGGAGCAGCGAGCGAGCGAATCCAAGGGGTGGCTGGGCAGGTGGTAGCGTCGCGAAGATGGTCGCCAAGCAGCGGATCCGTATGGCCAACGAGAAGCACAGCAAGAACATCACCCAGCGCGGCAACGTCGCCAAAACCTCGGTAAGGAAAGAGCGGACCCTCCTCTATTCTGCAGCCGGGGCTGAGGCCCGAGCCCTATGGCCGCGTCGAGTTCTCCTCCCCAGACCCGCCGACTCTGGGGGCCAGAGGCCGCGAGCTGGACGCTTAAGTTGGGGGGCTCTGGGAAGTGGGTGCCGGAGCTGGGTGGCTCGGGAACAGAGAGGAGACTTGGCCCCGAGTGCAGGCTGTGGGAGCCCTGGTTCGGAGGGGTTTTTTGCTTTTGAAACGGTGGATTTTCCTTTTTGCAGAGAAATGCTCCCGAAGAGAAGGCGTCTGTAGGACCCTGGTTATTGGCTCTCTTCATTTTTGTTGTTTGTGGTTCTGGTAAGTGTTTTGGGGGCTACCGTCGAGTAGGGTGTTGGATGACGGGTTTGGGATGACGTGGTGACCCATCAGTGGTGAATCTTAACCGCGTAGTTCTCAGCCCACCTGCCGGGAGCACCACATAATTCTATTCATCTGAACCAATTTGCTTGTCCCACATATGCACAGAGGGTGGTGCTCCAGAAACTTCTCCCAGTTTGATTTGTGCTCACAGGAGATCAGAAAAGGAGGCCAGGTCCTTAGTAATTATCAAGTTGGAAGAAATTTAAACCAAAACAAACAAACAAAAAAACCAAAAACACCTCACGGGAAAGAGATAGACTGTTTTGCACCCCATTATCAATTCCTTTGCAACAAAGAGGCTTCTGAACATCTTGTGCATATGGATGTTCGAGCTTAACATGTCTCAGAATCTAATGTCTTATGTCAAAACTGGGTATATTTTACAAAGTAAAGCTAGTGCAAAGAATTGATTCACTATAGAGGAAACGTACCTGATTGGCAATTTAATATGTGACAGATGTTTTTTAGATGAATAAAAGAAATGTTTGACATATGGTAGGAAAAATTAGTTATCAGGGCAGCCTGCTGTTAGAGTAATAGACTCTTGCCTCTGCAAATGGATTACCGAATGCCTTTCCTCTTTTATTATATAAGCTGTTGATATTGAAGTGTAATACATATTTCTGTTTTCCACTTTCTGACCTTCCAGTTATTGAGGTTTCTCATAAACATTTCACTTTGCCTGTCCCTAAACGTACCAGTTGGAGGCTTTCCTGATAAATGGCCAAGAGCCAGGTAGTTTATATAACCTAAAGATTACTGAATTTCAGCTTTGTGAGAATGAGGAAACATGCACATATTGTAGGCCAGTCTTTCAAAGGACATTTAATATTTAGTGATAAACCTAAATAATTCTGTGCTTGAAAAACCTGTTTTGCTTTGGTACTGTAAGTTCTTTCTAAAATGATTGCTTATTTTCAAACTCTCAGACATACAGACATAAAACTCAGAGAAGCTGAGATTTAAAAAACAACTTACGAACATTTACTTGTTTTATTAAGGTAATTCTTATTACAATGAAGTTACATAGCATTTGCAAGTAATAGTTTAAGGGTGCTCTTAGACTTGAACTACCTTAATAAATATCTATCACTTGCCAGACCTATTTTATTCAAAGCATGTTTTAATATTTGCTCTTTCTCTTACAGCAATTTTCCAGATTATTCAAAGTATCAGGATGGGCATGTGAAGTGACTGACCTTAAGATGTTTTCATTCTCCTGTGAATTTTAACTTGAACTCATTCCTGATGTTTGATACCCTGGTTAAAAACAATTCAGTAATGCATCCTGCCTCTGAATGACTTTTCATATCATCCTTCATGTGTCATTCCAAGGTTTCTTCACGAGTCATTCCAAGTTTTCTAATCCATACCACAGTGCCTTGCAAAAGCACCACATGAATAAAGCAATAAAATTTGATTCTTAAGCTACAGTAGTGGACCCTACTTATTCAGTCATTTAAGAGTTTTTTCAATGTGGTTATTAAAACAGTATACCGTTATAGATAATTAGATTAAGTCTGTGTAGGCAGGGTCTAGATTTTGTTAACCCTAATGTGTAAATGCAATTAGCTTAATTTAAAATTCAAAATCTTACGGTTTTTATATAGCTAGGCACTTTATTACAATATCTTGAATTGAAAGCACACTCCCATATAGGGTCATGTAACTGTCCTGTAATAAGGTGCTTATAAATGGAACAACTACATGTTAGCCTAGTTTTCCCAGTCTTTAGCACCTAAAAAAATGTTTAAAGCTTCTAAATGCTTAGTGTAAAGGGAGACGCTTATAGCCACAGTGTCTATTTTAACAATATTATTTCTGTTATATTACCTTGGATTTTGCATGAGTGAATATACTAACCTAATATGCCATAAGAAGACAACTTGTGTGAGCATTTTGTAACTTAGTCACTTCAGTTTCACTGAAAGCTATCGTGGTGGAGTAAATTCAGGGAAGGTTTGTTTATGTCACCATTGATTTCACCAGAATTACATTAATATATCAAAGGGGTCTACTATACTAGACAACATTTTAGGGAAAAATACTACTAAAAATGGATGCCTCATCAGGACATATTGTTGCATCCAGTGTGCCATAAGACATCTTAGCATGTTAGCAGCACTTTTAATACCAAAAAAGGCACATCGACTTAAAAAGTTATACTTAGTTTGGAAATGCTTTTTCTAGATTTATGATTAAAACTCTGTTAGGGTTCTAGATACATCAATCTAAAGTGTCACCTGGAATTAAATGGATTTACTGATAAGGATCAGTCTTTAGTCTTCCCTTTGTTATATGATTTTATAGGTTATGGTTGATCAGACTTTCTTTTTACTAATGGTAAGTGTGAGTGAGAAGGCAGATTTTGGGTTTTCTGGTACTGTTGAAAATTGCAAGTATTGGCTATTTTGAAATATTGAATCTTAACTTGATGAAAAAAGCCTGAGAGGTGTCTATGTATTAATGAATTGGAAAGAAAGCTGCTTGTTTGCTTTGTTAATTGCCTCAGGATATTTCTTTTAAAATAAGCTGTTTTAAGAGGAACAGAAGGGAAATCTGCTACCTACTCTATACACAGTGTGAACCTCAGAGCTTCTGATACCCCAAAGCATGGGGGACAGGGAGGGAGAGGAGTGGTTTAGGACACTTAGGAATCCGACTACTTTAGAATAGGAAAGAATCAGCCAACCTCGGCCCCGCAGGTTATCTTCAGTATTACCTGCCTTCCTCACCCAGAAAGTCAACCCCTGCACTCGTTTCCTTCTTTGAAACAAGCGTGTGGTTAACTAATTCTATTTTATTGTAACTTTAAAAATGAAAGTTATTGTTCAAAATTCATAGCAGGTGCCTTATTCTTTGCTTTGAGTCGAACCATTCCATATTAGTTTCCCTTGGCTCTAAGATGTTGAGTTATTTTTAATGTACAATGTCTATTAATTTGACTGTTAAGTTGCCATAGCCAACAATCGTTTTACCTATGTAAAGTTGCATTCCCTTTGTATTTCATGTGTAATTTTCCAATTGAGAGCATTTTATATTAAGGATGGTGGATTATGCATGTTTGGGTCAATGAAAACTATGTCTTAATTGATTTATCCTTTAAAAATAAAGTTCCCTGAATATTTGATGCCTTCTAAAAGAAAGTTATTTTACAGGGTCCTTATCTGAGTGTACCTTTTCCAGTTAATAGAAAATGATTTTAAAGAATGCCTAGTATTATGATGTACTTGAGATAAAATAAATAGTACCCAGACGCACAGGTGTAAGGTTTATAACGGAATAGGTAGCAAGAAAAATATATAAAGCACAATGAATTAAATACTTCCCCGCCTAGGATTTACCCTCATTTCGTTGTTATCTGAGTCTGGTTCCAGAAAGCAGCACAGTTCTTTTGATCTCCCTTTCCCAATTGGATTTTATCTCATGTAATGCACAGTATGAGAATAAATGCTTCATTGGGGTTGTCTATATTATCCAATTACCCTTTGTAATTTAGCTATAATATTTCCATGAGTTGTCAATGATTTCACTGTATGTGTTGGGTTGTGAATAATGTTGCTCAAAATAATTGAGTGGGCTTCCAAAATAAGTGAAGATTTTCATTGTAACATTGTAATGGCTTTGACTTACATTAAAGAAATGTATATACTCACTGCAGAGCCATGGCTCTTCTCACTGAGGTTACTGGAGTTTTGTTGGCACAAAGGACTACTGTGTTAGTGCTGGATTATGTTCTTGGGAGGTTCATCAACAGAATTTTATTGTGCTTTAGCATTTGTAAAATTTAGAACATATTCAGACTTTACACTTAGAAATTGTTCTGAAGATCAGTTTGCCTTTACCTACCTTTTTAGTTTTTTTACTTGTTTCAGACACAAACCACGACTTCAAGAGGTAGGAGTTGGGCTCAACAACATGTACATCATTCTTTCAGGGAATCCTTCCTTGTCAAACATAGTCTCACTCTAGCTGCTTTGTACTGCTTTATCTTCAGGTTGAATTAGGACAAAAATGTCCTAATTTAGTAAAAGTACTAGAAAGCAGTAAAAGGCCAGAAATAAGCTGAAGGGAAAAATTAAACTGGACTTACTGTATTTCCCCATGTATAAGACGCACCCTTTTCTGAAAAATTTGAGGTCTAAAAACTGGGTGCGTCTTACACAGTGGTTGTAGATTTCTTTTTTTTACTTGCATTTGCTGCTTTTTTCACTCTTGTTTTTGTGCTCATACAACCACTGTATAAGACACACCCAGTTTTTAGACCCCAAATTTTTCAGAAAAGGGTGCATCTTACATGGGGAAATACGGTAGATAATTCAATGTAAATTTATATATATCAGAATCATAAAGATGGAAAGGACATGGGAAAATTTGTCCAACTGCCTCAATTTACAGATAAATTTTAAAAATTGATTTATTCAGTGAATATTGAGTAACTTATGTGCTGGATGTGGAGATAGAGCTGTGAATACAGAGTTCCAGCACTCAAATATCTTTCAGTCCAGTAGTGGAGGTAAAGATAATAGTGATCGTAATTGTGATGAGTATTTCAAAGGAGTGAAACCAGATAAGTGGTATCTTTGCCCCCACAGAGCTAGTTGAGGTGGAGCAGAAACTAGAAACAAGGTTTCCTGACCCACTGTACCCTGTAGAAACCTAGGAATGATTGCAGAACATCCATACAGAACACTTCCGTTTTCATGAGCTCTCTGCTTCTGTTTTTAGACAACCTCTTAATTTTTTTTTTTTTTTTTTTACGTTTCCAATTCAAAGAAGAAAGAAAAGAACATATCCTTTTATGGGTGCAATTTCTTTTGAAAATGAGTTTAAATGACACTTATTATTGGTGTTTCCTGTGTGGCACAAAAATACTAAGATCAATAATGTTATCCACTGTGACATTGAAGACTACATTTTAAAAAAGTATTTTGCTATAATTTTACTGTACTTTAAATTTTTTCGTCTGTGATATTGAAAATTCTTATTTGGTAGTTCAGTAGTCAAAAATAATGCAGCCATGTGCCCTCCAAAGATACTTTTTATAACAGTTTCAGTGAATAAATAATGTGTGACTTTCAGTGTGCAAATTTCTACTTTGGAGCACAGATAGAACAAATCTGCAAATTTAATTAAAACTATGATTTCAGTACCATTAAATGGGTTATAACAGGTTTTCTTCTTTTCACCCTGTTATGGAGAAAGTCTCAAACAGGAGAATGAGAATGATTGATTTCAGAGCTAGAAGGAACTTTAGACATGATCTTGATTAATTTACACTTGAGGAATTTATGGCCTGGAGAGTTCTTACCCGTCACCAATGAACCTGTAGCAGAGCAAGTATTAGAAAACTAGTTTTGTGATGACCACACGGGCTCTTTTTAGTATGTTGAGTGCCAAGGAATTATGATTCTGTAGGATGTCTCCTTTTATGTTAGGAGATTACATATTAGTCACATGAAACCCTATGAGTGTTCCATGAGGGTAAAATCTGAAGATTTACTAAACTTCAATGGGTTCCCACTGTAATTGGGATTGAAATTGAAAAATTTGCTTTGATTTTCAGGACATGTTACAACATGGCCCAACCTACGTCTTCAGCCTTGACCTCCACCGCTTCCCTCCATAGACCTGTTCTAACCCAAAGAGCCTGCTTTCATTTTTCAGATACCTTGTGCTTTCTTTGTTTTTGTTCATTTTCCCTATATTATATGACTACAGAATCCAGCTTAAATTTCACCTCTGTGAAGTTTTCCCTTGCTGTGGGAATCAGAAACATTCTCTTTGGGATTGATGGCAACATTATGTTGCCATGTTTATTCGTTTTGTTTCTTAGTTTCTCAGACAGAGTATGGAATCCTTAGAAGCAATGCCATATCTTTCTATTTCACTCTTTTATCACCTACTCTCAACCACCCAACAAGGCTAGTAAGAAGCTTTACACACACAGGGGGAGCTCACCATTTTAGTTGAGCTCACCATTTATTTGAAAGAGTAATGAATGTCCTATCATATTAGAAAACTCTTTAAAGTAAGAACGTGTCCTGTAAAATCATCTACCCTGACATATATCAGTCATCCCACTTTCTTCCAATCCTGGCAACCCCTGGTTAATGGCTGGGCTCAGCACCAGAATTCAGTCTGCCCTTGAAACAAACTCGCCCAGGATAGTTTTGACATTTGGAAATATATCAACAGTGGTATTTGTCCTTCAGCCATATTTGAGAACCTTTTATAGTAAGTGTCATTGAAAAAACCAAAAAGTGCTTTGTAAAGAAACCTGACAGCTCACCACACCAGTCCATCCAGTTATAAGGAAAAGTCAAACACCTGTTTAGAACAGGTGCCTGTGGGCTATCAGCTGCCCTCTGTCCCGTCCCATCCCAGGGCCCAGGAAGGGGCAAGGATGCCACATGCTTTGCCCTTCTCCACACCAGACCACGAAACCAGAATGACCAACCCTGTGCTACCCAGACCAGATCCAGGCCATGGAAGGAATAGCTTATTCTCGCCTCACAAAGGAAGTTTCTACAGCGAGGCCACACCACATTGACTAGCTCTTAGGATGTGGCGTGGTTACCAAACAAGATCTCATACATTGTGCAAAGGAGATTCCCAGGGCCTGTCTGAGAAAATGCTATCCACACCGACATGCAGAGCTTGGGAAGGTCCTGGCACCCAGGAACGCTCCTGGACCAGATTCCCAAGATGCAAACGCATCTGGGATTAAGACAGATTTTAATTTCCGACAAAACCCAAATCATAAAGATAAATGGAGCACCGAAGCACGTTTCCACCTAGTTCCAGCATGGTTACTCTGGCACAACCCACCTGTTAATTACATATGGATCACATAAAGAAGGAATGTGCCATAGAGAATGAAAACCATCCTGAAATCTTAAAAGGCATTTCTGAAGAGCTCGCTCAAGAGTATGAGCTCTGAGCAACAGCGGTTCAATGCCCGGCCAGAGCTGAGCTGCCAACAGGTAGCAGGATGGCTCAGCTTAAAAAAAAACAAAAAACAAAAAAAGTCATTTCTGCTTGATTGAGAACAGCATCAGGATGTTTTTCAAGGCGTGACCCCTTTCTTTTGCTAAACATAACTTTCAAGTCCGTCTGCGACTGCCAAGTACACAGGGAAAATGGACCATTGGAGTTTAATACCCAGCCTGTGTCAACGGTTTAATCTATTAGAGGGGTAGCCAGGGAACCAACAATAACCTGGAAGCCTGTTACAAATGCAGAATCTCAGGCCCCTCACAAGGCTCACTGAATCAGAATTTGCATCTTCACAGGATCCCCAGGTGTTTCATATGCAAATTAAACTCTGAGATGTGTTCAAGAGGTCTCTCTTTACAGGGCCTTAAATCCCCACCCTCCCAGCTTTCATTCTCAGTCGTCCGAGGGAACGGAAACACCTACCCGCCTATCTCATGCAACTGTTATGAAACCTAATGATGGTAAAAGCACATTGAAAAGTTAAAAATGCTCTATGCAAATAAGATTCCACTAACTTCGTGAACCGCAAAAACAAAGAGATCTCTCATAGGGTGAAAGGCCTTCTTCACTGAAAACAAAAGGAACAGTAGCCTCTATATTTGACATGGCAGGAAGTCACCAGCATTCTTAGGATCACTTGCAACTTACACATCTTGAACTATAATTTTACCTGTCCAAAATTTTGCCGCCTGAATTGCTTTTCAAAGCTTACAGCACTGTGAATCATATTCAGCTAATTAGCTCCTACCATGACATACTTGGCACATCCCAGGTTCTCAAGGAAGATCGGTTGTACTTGGAAAAGTGAGGAGGAACCAGGAGGTATAATTGGTCTTAAAGACTGCCTGTTCACAGAGGCCTATCCCTGCTTCAGAGGCTCTTTGAATACCCCTTCCATTACCTCACATCAAAATTTGCATCGCTGGTGAAGTGCAGTGATCGCAAGTACAGATAATCCCACCTCAGACATGAAAAGAGCACTAGGTAGATATATAGGCTCATAAAACTTGCCTTTCAAGAAGCTTGAATTCCTGTTAAAAGAAAAACACTTAGAGAAAATATATAAAATTTGATTTGATACCATCACTTATTTTAAAAATAAGCTTAGATTTACAGCCAAGTTGTGAAGAC